AACTGCCATATAGCACAATCGATTACTCTCAGCCCACATAAGTACAATGTAGGCCAATCAGTAGTATAGATACATAGAGCACACTCTACATCATACATAGTCGGCACCAAATCTATGTTGTCGATGTACTTTGCAATGATGACATGATGGCAAGCGTGCTTGATTCATCATAATATTGCCTTGTACTTGGTTGGAAGTTAGTTGTAAGTTCAGTGGTCGAGGTAAGCAGAGCTGCTCCAGCTTTCAGAATCCTGCATGAAAAAGGCAGAAAGCAAATGTAGGTATAATAGTAGCAAGCTGATGTAAAGAGCCTGTCTTTCAATGCAATAATTCTATCCACTGCATGGACAGACCTGGTGCTTCATTCACCTCTGTTTCTTGCTTTCTCAGAAAACCTACTTCCTCCTTCAGCCATCTAGCTCATGATATACATTAATTTTTCTTTATGCCTTTTCAGCCGTGGTCGACTTTCGCCCCTCCTGTTTGATTGGCAATTGCAGTCAACCTGGGGAATACTGACCCTCGATTGTGAATGAGAAAAGTGTCGCTATTCGCATTGTTGTTACTCGTGAGGTTGGAAGTATGCAATCAAATGTTCACTAGATCTGAAGATTGTGTCGTTATTTGCGAGTTGTTTTGTAAACCCGAGGTAGATTATTCACAAGGTTGATTGTACATGCTATGGGATGTACAATAACTAACCAAACAATAATGGTGTAACAATGATTTGAGTCCATATCCAATTGGATGAACCTAGAGTGCATGATCCATTCCAGAAAGGCGACTTCAGTGAGTCTTGAATTGTCAGCAGCATCATACTTCCATCGAGCTTTTTTTCTTTTTCGAAACGACCCTCTCTTTTCAATTCGAACGAAGGTCAACATACGATTATGGCAGGCATGCACGCACTGATCTTCACTGTATACATGTGCATGTATACTGTACTGTAGTCTGTGCAGTCAACTAGTCGTGTTCCACTTGGTTTACGGTAAGTATCACTACAAGTGCATAGTAGCCCCCCCCCCCCGCCCCGGGGAGTGCGCGTGAACGGCAACTGTGAACTGGTAAAAGAATTATTCGACACCTTCGTTCGTTTCGATGGAGAAGGTTCATCTGGCAAATTGAGGCCTTCGTTTCACTCCTAGCCCCAGGAGCGAAATTTTCACTCCTTGGCTGCCTGTTTGAGCCGTCCTTGTGGAAGGGTTGATTTATGCATGCCCGCATATACATGTAGACCTTATTCAATAAACGTCACAATCACGTGAACCAGGGTCCCGGGAACCAGGGAGCGGCAAGAGACCTGCACTCAGTGCACAGTGGACTCGGCGTGGGAACATAGGAGTAGAAAAATACCGGTATTTTACTACTCCCTTGTACGAACTGGGCCTTTCTTGCCACTCGTTTCACGTACGCGTGCCCCAGCTTACAACAAATCCCTGGAGGCGAGTCCAAAAATCATGTTTTCGAATAAGGTCTATAGAAACACAGATCACATAGAACTACCCCATCCGGGGTCACAACTCACAACGTTTTGGGTACTTAGGTCTCATGTCGTCTCCCCAGGTGCTATGAATCCCTGATGCACATGTATCTACATGTACATATACAATGTAATCGTAACTCTACCAATATTGCGGACGATGACCCTCCCCCCCCCCCCCCCGGCAAACAGAAAGTCGCTATGTCCTGGCCGAGTTTATCTTTTAATTAAATGGTTTTCTCGGTTGGGATTTCATACCTGACAACCATCCCGATTTGGCCGGGACCGTCCCGATATCGAGGGCGGTAATAGGCACCCAAAAGTGCACTAGTTCCATGCCTCACCGCGAGCTTCTTTTGTATACATTTTCATGCCTAGGTATGTCATTGGATCTCAGGTTTGCAAAGGTTGGCAGGTATGGGATTTGTAGAGTGACCAGTTTTGACTATTGCCACCTGCTGTGCAGAAGTGTCATTCCTACATCCTGGCTGCAAACGTACCCCCCCCCCCCCCCCCCCCCCCCACACACACACACCAGCACCACCAACAATGTTCGATCCTATTTACAGGACCTCACTCTATATGAAAGTGTAGCAGAGGCACTGCCAAAGTATAAAAAACAGCAATTGAAATGCAAGCTGCATTGTGCATGCATGGAGGGCATGGGGAAGAGACTGAGAGGGTGAAAGTGAAGGAAATTTGTTCCGAAATCAAGAGAATCCGAGGAACCCTTGCTGCATTCTTCAGTTCGATAACGTCAGTGGGTGAATCTCAGATGTGTTGTGTGCCCAGACATACAAGTACAGCACTAACCTGAGCATGAGAGCTGCTTGTCATCATCGTGGTCAGGAAAACGAAAGGACGAACGAGGAAGATTGCTGACCATGCATGACGAACAACTGCATATCTAGACGACAGACGGCTTGCCAGAATCAGTCTGGTGTATCTTCAGGAATCTTCTTTCCTAATCGCATTCAGCAGTCAGCTTCGAGGTCAAGAACGCGATGATATTTTCAGAAGGAATAATTTGCAAAAATTTTAAATTTTGGAGAAGAAGCTTCCTTTCTAAAAAAAAAGCGTTCCTTGCTTTCACGCAAGGAGGTGCCTTGCCGGACATGTCGTCGACAGCACAGTGTCGGCAGATCCACGTTTGTAGGCTGCAGACCCGGCAGACGTTTTGATCATCCCGGCCTGGTGGTGAGATTTTGGACCCGGGAGTACTAAAAAGCTGCTCGCATCCCAGGGTGCTCAGTTTCGCTCTACCCGCGCGAGTAGGGGTCCAGGTAACGGGCTCTCTTTCGCGGCCTGCCGAGCATAATATACCTCTTCAGACGGCATGAAGGGTCGCGCTCGGTCGCGGAAATTGTTTTGAAGTTGAACGCCATGACACAGTATGGAGGTGGAGAAGAAAGACGATTGACTTCCGTCTTCCTCTGTGTTCATGGTGTTGTCCCAGGCAGTTGAGGAATGGCTTAGTAGTAGTTGAACTCTCGTTGAGGGCGAGAAGCAAAAATGATACCAAGTAAGTTAGCATAATTTGATTTTGCTAGTTGCAGTCGTGGATGGAAAGGATTTCGAGACGATGTGAAAATTGCCAGGAACAAAATCGGGCGTATCAGAGAGTGGAGAAAAAAATTGCTGAAGAACAAGGCAAGTGACGACCTCAGTGAATTACTAAGTCATCCTTTTGAACTGCCTCTCAATCAAATTGTAAAGCAGATAACCACACATACTGAACGAAAATCGTATATTGTGTCTGATTCTTGTCTAAGAAAGAAACATTGAACTGCAAGGAAAATTGTGGGCTGCAGGGATTGCAAATTGCATGAATTGTATAAGTTTTGGAAAATTATATCAGTGTTATCAAATTTCCACACCTGAGCAGTCGTACGTGCTGAGGTGTGGACATTTGCAACAGTTCATGTCCATGCTGGACCAGCCGTTGATGTCAGTGCTGAAGCAACAGTTGATGTTGATGCCGGCGCAGCAAATGATGGCGCTTTGGAGCCTGCACCCGGCATAGCAGGTCTTGACCCTGTGTGTGGCACCAGACTTGATCTTCCATGTGTCATACAGGTGCGTGGTTGTTCCAGGCTGGTTTTTTACTGAACTTATCTCTTATAAATACTCACCGCTGGCTGGCTTCTGTGTACAATACTCAATAGCCTCTAGTATGGTCGTTGTGCGGCTAATGTGCGTCTCTGACTCGTTGCAGCCGAAAACGGGCACTGTGTGACATCAGAGCTTGCTGTCTGCTCCTCTAGTTTCCCACATGCATACTATTATAACTTAGACGTTGTGTTTGCCGTATTTCTGTCATATTCCACCTATTACCATGTTGAATTATGCGTGAAATATACTGTTGCTAGGGCCGTTGCTAAGGATGCCATTGTTGCGGTCATTTGGAATTTTGAAAAAAAACTTGTATCTTCCGTTTCGTCACAGCCAGGGCCATCCTTGATCCAAGTTTGGCCACGATCGGATGAAGTTTATTTGTTGCTATGGTGTTGCTAGGGAGTATGGGAATTCCATTTTGTGCCATCCTGCAGATCCAATTTGTATGTGTGTTCATCAAGGTTGGTACGCTATGTTTGAATGCTCGTAACTTTGGAAATACTGCTTGGATTCCGTTCAAATTTTCTGTGGACAGTCCTTACACATAGATGCTTCAGAAAAACTTGTTAGTTGGAGCAAAGCGCTGCTCAGAAAAAACCGCCTGAAATCCCTATCAAGAGTACATAACCCGGGGGTTATGTACTCTTGATGACATCTATCAAGAGTTCGTAACTCTTTATGACTGTACTCGACTCGAGTCAAGAGTTACTGAATACTGTACAGTGTACTTACACATAAGTTCATAACCCGGGGTTATCTGCATGAACTCTTGCTGTACTCTTGTGTTGATCATTTGATGACATAAACATGATAAAGAGACTGAGTCCATAGACTCCATACACATGTTTATGCACTCTTGTCTTGATGACATCAAGAGGCCATAACCATGATAACCCTGACCATGGCTGGGGAAGTATGCCCCCACAATGCCCACATGAGCGCGACCCAAAACAGCCCCCCCCCCCCCCCATAACTGGACATCCCCAAAACAGACCGAAAAGATTGATTGTTCTTGGAAGAGAAAAATTCAAAAAATGAAACAAACCAAAAAATAACAAGTTTTGAAGTCGCGGTAAGTATGCAAAATCTCTCCAAAACGCGGATGAAAGGCAGTAGTAACGCTGAAAATCGCGTGTCCGCGTGGGGACAGGTCTGGTTTACCGGCAGGGTATATTTACATGTATGTAGACCTAACAGTAACACTGTACCAGATGTAGCACCTTAGGCTGCATAGTGATTACATGTAGTCGTGGTATACTAGTTCATGGTGCATGGTAGACAGGTTTCAATGATTATGTAGCCAGGTAGCAGGTGATAATTCTGATTGCCTCCACCCCCGCACACACACATACACACATGCACACACACCCCGTGACATTCCATGCTAGCGACAACACAACAGCACTTCGAGCATAGACCATTTTCAGACCAAAGGGAAGGTCAGACAAATCGGAAAAGAAACAACATTCCAAGATGAGAGACATTCAGACCAAAGCCAAAGGGAAGGTCAAACAAAAATCAGAAAAGAAACATTCCAAGACGAGAAACAGAAAAAAACAACAAGACATAGTCCATGAAACGCAGAACAACGAGGGGACGAGCAGAGGCGCAATCAGCATTAGCGTCAAGAGAGAAAGACGAGCTTGTCTTGTCCCTAGAAAGTATGGAAAATAAATAACATCTTAAGGGGAAAGGAACAGGATGGGCAGAAAAGTGGCAGAGCACTAGCCAAAGGAAAAAAGAAAAGAAAAAAAAGAGGTGGATATGGGCGTAGTGATGTGCGTGGGAGAGGGAGGGGGGGGGGGGGGTTAGAAGGTGTATGTACAGGACTTGAGGGTAGGAGCAGATGTATCGGCCCCGCACGGGAGGCACCAACAGTGCCCAGGAGAGAATTCAATCACAGCCTATAACTATAACGTTACTCTCCAGGAGAAACTCTAAACTAGGGTCAAAAGCAAGTCAAAGAGCACATTGCCCTTTACATAGTCATTGTCAACCAAGTTCACTAAGTAGAACTTGTCGTGAATGGACTTGATAACGTTCCAGGAAGGACTGTCCTGCTCATAGAACTTGCCCCATCGCTCAATCCAAAGTTCAAATGCTTCATCCTGCATGGGAGTGAGAAAGAGAGAGAGAGAGAGAGAGAGAGACGTTGCTTGCAGTTGATATGTTTGGGAATGAAACGCAGCTGTTGAGTGACAGACGTGCACTGGCGGTGCACACTCTAGTTGTCACGTACGATTACAATTCCCTGTAGGCATCACAATCCAGTTTGCTCTCACGCTTGCGTGCAATGCACTTTCACCGAAGTGGAAGTCTACCCTACTTGTATGTGTGACAGTACAAACTGGTTACGCACAACAGGTGCCAACTAGCAGAATCCCTCTGCACCCCCCCCCCCCCTCTCCCCCAGAAGTGTAGACGCCAGCACTATGCCATGTACAACTGACCTTCCAGATGCCGAAGCTAACCGGATCGACAACAGTCGGTTGGATGATCTCACAGCCTGGGAAGACTCCCCACGTGACGGCGATGGGATTATGGCTGGTGTTGGTGAAGCTCTCCGTTCCCTGTACGCAAAAAAAGAGTTAGGAATAAGCAGATACATAAATAGACGACGGCAGGATAGTACGTACAGTCGGGCAGCGGATACTCAGTGGGTAGACTCCTACCGAGTTTCCATGGCATCAGAACAAAGAGTGTGTAATCTGGTCTGTGGCAGAATTCGTTTTATGTTTTGGAGGCCATTTCGCTCACTGCTACCATCATGTACAGCCAGAGAGCAAATGTGCAAAGAACATGTATGTACAATGCAGCTACGGTAGTTGAAGCAGAACAATGGAAGTTAGATTCATGTGTCCTAAGATTGATGAACTGCCGCCGTGTCTAAAGGACAACCGCGTAATACTCCAAAAATGGCCCCAATTTTTTGATTGAAGTTGCACGCCCTTGATTTTTATAATTATACTACCGTAAAGATGGAGTAAATTAATACTGTTCATCTGTGGCAAACGGATGTGTGCGGTTAAGGAGGCTCCCACCTAAAGAAGTAAAAATAAAAGGTCCATGGACACCCTGTTTTTTATGCATAGAATTGTGGAGTGATGTCTCTTCTTCAATTTGGTATAGTTTTTAGGTAGGGTCACCAGGCATATAAGAGGTATTTTGGTGTATTTAGTGAGTGTACAATTTCTTGATTTTCGGTAAAAAAATGGTAAAAAAATTTGGTTTTTGACCCAAAGAAGCCTCCTGGAAGGAGGATACTAAGCATTTTCTTCATCATATGTTTAAGAACCACATTTGGAGGTATCTTGGCTACACAAGATAGACTGCGTCTTGGTTTTGCCCTTGGGGAGCCACTTTTTCGAAATTACGGGTACCGAAATTTCCATCGGGTGTTGAATTGTGAAATGGTTCAGCCTGCAACATTTTGTCCATGGACATATTGATTTTTGTGGCTTTCTGTGATCCTTGAGCCCCAAGGAAACCGATAATGGACAGTTTTGATGGTGTCACCAGGCACTTTAGGCCCCTACCAAACAATATAGGTATCAAAATATGGTATTTTTAGGCCAATTCTGAAAATAGCATTTTTAGAAAATCTGACCATTCTTGCCTTCTTGACTAAATATCACTACCAATGACATGGTAGTATGGTAACATTATTTTAGAAGAAGTTATTTTCATGCTGCAACCTCCTTTGGACAAACCAGACAGTCTGTGCTTGGAAAGGTACATGTATCATTACATGTACATGTATGTCATGTAGCCTTCAGTCCTATCACATTGATATACGAGTAGTGTACATGTACATGTACATGTAAGGCAGCGAGGTTTCATAACAACCTCGACCATGAAACTGGCACATGAATAATGTGAAAGCAGGCATTCAAAATAAGGCACACTAAACACTCACACGCGTGCGCACGCACATAAACACCCACCCACATGCACGCACTCTCATGCACGCATCATTGTAACACTACTAGTCCATAGCAGGGCTTAGTGTAAATAAAAGCCTGAAGACCAGCCACTGCACTGGGCGTGCATTTGCTGGTTGTCACTTGCGTTGATAGCAGCAGACTCCAGAAAAACATCGCATGAAGGGCAATATGCATCTACACACGCTGGCGTGCACATATACGATATACATGTAATGTACTGTCATGCTCACTCAGCAATTCTTTTTGTGTCTCAAATACGGTTCACAAATGCGCATTCACATGCAACTCCTGTACTGTAAAGCCATTACCACACTGTCCTTGCGGACACCAGAATGGCATACAGAACCAGCACCGTGAGCCCCCCCCCCCCCCCTTCCACACCTAGCTTTGCACACGCACGCACACATGCACGTGCATACACACATACATGTACACAGACATTTGCATGCACATGCACACAGTGCACTCGTGGGGACATGTGCATAACCCAGATCAACATTGCGTGCGAACCCACACATGCGGACACGAGCACGCGCGCACACACACACGTGCGTACACACACACTCGTACACCTGCCCAACGCTGAAGCGAGGATAGCGAACAAACTACGTTAGACATAGCAACTTGTGCTCGGATTACACCTTTCAACAGCTTGCACACACACACGCGCATGCGCGCGCGCGCGAGTACACACACACACATGCGCGCGTACACACACACACATGCGCGCATACACACACACACACACACATGCGCGCGTACACACACACACACACACATGCGCGCGTACACACACACACACAAACGCATGTACTTGCGCATAGAAAAGGATTCAAAATAATCAACCACAGGCATTTACCCAATACACACCTGAGTGTGCACATCTTAGTTGTGGCATCCCCATTTTTACAAAAGCAGGATTTAGAAGTTCGTCCCTGGTTCAGAACACAAGCCTCTGGCCAGCGTTTTCCTTACACCATCAGTGCAGTACAGTGGTTGACACGAACCTCATTCCTACAGGGACAGTAGCCCAAGTTCAGCAGCTCTGAGATGCGTCGTCCACTGAGCTCAGGATACTCTAGGATCCACAGAAACAGTTTCAAACGGCACTCGTGCGACTGGAGCTGCAAGTGGGTCCACTTACCAGCGAGTGGGCAGCCACTTCACGCTCCACAGGTAGGCCATGCTAAATTCCAGTGCCAGTACTAGTATCACTACGTTCGACATCGATGTCTTCACTGACTTCAGCCTGCTTTTCTCACCCTTCTTCGTCAGTAATATATTTGTTCTTCGTGGCCACATCGTACCGCTTCAACAAAGTTTTCACAAAAAATCAAGCAGCGCAGGAACTGCCTTTGTTTAGCATTAGCCATGGCCAGTGATTCTTTCCAGCGTAGAAACAGCCACGGCTACAGAAACACTGCAACGAGTAGAACTACATCCTGGAACAACTGCGAGCACAGAGAAATCAAAAAACTTCTTTCTGAACAACAGCTTATTTCCGCATGGAACACAACATTTTTCGAATCTCGCGGCAAAAAACAGATTTCGGAGGTGCCCTTTTTACACTGCGCTGCGCAACTGTTCGGAGCCTCCTTAACCGAGGTCTGACTGTATTTTGACCTGGCTAGAACCCTGATGTATATATGCACAGAAGTGAGGTAAATCTCACACAAACTGTTTCGGTTGCGACTTGTCGAGCGGATCATATAATGAAAAATGAAAAACAACGTACATGATGATTGCACATGTAATTCGAAAACAAGCCGTGACAGATGCTTATGTGTACATGACTAAACGTAGGTGCACGCTCATGAGTCATGGGAGCTTCGTACTCCAGCACACACCCATCTAAAGTTAACTTACAGACTGGTTGACAATGTGATAGTTCACCCATGGGTGGTCGGCCAGCACAGATTTCAACTTCTCGATACGGTCCGCACTGATGAAGAACTCTAAGTAGGCCTGCAAAAGAATAGGGGAGAAGATGAGCAGATAAATACCAGCATTGGCTTCTAGCTGCCAACAGGTTGTATACTGTACCTAGTCATCAGCGAAACCCAACCTCAGAAGAGGCGAGCAACCTGCACTAACGTCAGTGCACCCCCAGTGTTCACAAGTCTGCGGCTGCACAGCAACCTGCACTAGTGCACACCCAGTGTTCGCCAATGCCGTGTGTAATACTGCACGACCTTCAACGACATAAGCCACCATCCATATGACACGATTCATCCATGGAGAGAGCATACCAGAGAAATCATCCATATTGGGCAGGTCTTGGGTGGCAAACTACAGTATAGCAATATCCAAATTAGGATGACATGAGTGCTACTAATGCAACAGTGATTGTACCTTCTGGTAGACATAACCGCCTGGCTTTCCCCAGCCAACGATGGGGTCAGAGCTGGAGCGTCCGTTGATGCTCGGCTGAGAGTTGATCGTCAGCAAGCCACTGCCGTTGATCTTGGCGAGGCGCTCTGTCAGTAGGTTGGTCTCCGGTGCCAGTTCTTCATCGTTCCAGGGTAGCTGAGACACCTGCATAGATACACACAATGCACAAGGGAACATGAAAAGTCTGCCTTCCATACCACTTCGCCCATGAAGCACGTCCAAGTACCGTTTCGGCCTGCTAATAACAAGAAGCTTTATCCATGATAAGCTGCCATTGAACAGCAAAGCCTCACACGCTGTAGCCTGTCCACACACCACACCAGACACCCCCATGGCCATGACACCACCATCGCTGCCGCCGTCACCACTACAGTCCATTCAGAAAAAAATGAACTTCTAGCTTTTGGCCATAAATGGGTCAAACGTTGAGTTTTTTTAGAATTTTTTTCTGCAATCCCATATGGAATCCTCTTCCAATTATGTTTCTGAAGTTTTTTTGTCCAAAAAGCAAGCCATAGCAAGAATAGGATTTCGGCCAGGTTTTGCCCCAAAAGCACTGAATTGGGAAAAACCATCAAAATCCAGGCCGTTTGACCCCGCCTGCAACAGTGCATTCTGCGGTTCGAACCCCAGTTCAGGCACCCTTTTTGGACCCTTTTTCAAATTTCAAAGTTCGCAGCACTGCACTGTGTACGATGAAATCACGAAAAATCGCCAAATACGGGAGCTCGCCAGAGCCAGGACCCATCTTTTTATGAATGGACTGTAGTACACACACCACCCAAACGCGCGCTGCTCACCTTATGACCGAGCCTGTTCGGCTTGCCAGTGATGTACGCAACGAAGATATCAAACACATCCTGCTCGGAGTGCAGCTCCGGAGTCAACATGTCGATCCACTTCTCTGTCTTCATTTTGCTTTGCAGGTAGAAGAGGTAGTGAGATGCATCGCCGAAAGCAGGACTGTACAAGCACACCGGCAGCACACAGGACAAGAAGGCAACACATTGAGAACATTGAAAGAAGTGGAGCTCATGCTCTACATTCCTCAAGTAATTTTTTTGAAGAACACACGTAGCAGCACTACCACAGGCGATAGGAAACTTTAATAGGAAGAAAAAGACCGGGAAACCGGGAAAGAGGGGTGAAGATACACAACTACTTGTAGCTATGTAGCACAGACCAAAGGGTACAATTTGAGCAATCCTGGACAAATCACGTTAACGTACGCACATTTCTACATACTGTATAAGCAGAAATATTCGTCTGGAATTTAATTTCGTCTTTTTCGTCCAAGGAACTTTTGGACTAAATTCAATACCGGACTATTGTCGATTTGTCCAGCTTTTCTATACACTCTTATGATCCATGGACGAAATTTTCAACCGGACGAACTCCCTTTCTTTGGAGTTGGACGAAATTATTGACCGACGAAATTTTCTGCCTCTACAGTAACTATGCAAGCAGTAGCAGCAGGATGCGAGAAGGACTGCTACAGTGGGAAGCGCTCTCTCTCACCTGGATGAGTTGCCCCATCGGCCATTGGGGAACTCTCCCCAGTCCTGGGTGCGGTGGATGTAGGAGTTGGGCCGCGACGCCCAGAAGATTGGCCGCACGTCCTCGATGGTGCGGCGCTGGTGGTTGGCGGTCTGCTTCCAGGGCAGGATACGCTGCACTGTGCCAGCACCACACCAAAGACCAAGCTGTGTGAGAATCTCGGTGCAGGCAACCTCACGGTTGAGGGTGTAGATATGAAGACCAGGAACCTGGCAACAAGAAGAAGAAGAAACACATCACACACAAACAGAACTGAGATTGCAAAGCTGCTCAAAGAAATCCTGAGGGTGCATCTTGGCTGACGATGCTTTCAGATGCCTAGTCCAGTGTTAGGGGTGTGCGATCCTCCGAGCTGCATTTATTCGCGAGTACATGCATGCAGAGAATTGAACAACGCTGTAGCGGCAGAGGCATGTTGTAATGGGCAGGGTTCGACTGTGACCATCGGCCTAAACGCCCATAGCAGGACGGTTTACTGAGTATAGCACATAGTACTGCTCAGAGAAAGGACGGTAGAGCATGCACATGTGTACGGAAGAGAACCGAAACCGACTGGCGAGAAACGGCTAGAGCTAAGCCAAAAGCATGTACATGTACACGCAAGTGAGAGAAAGGTCTGCCACCCACTACTCAGGACCTCACTGCCTCAACAGCACGATGCGCCTTACCTCTCCACTTTCCAGAAGTGTTTTACACATGGTGACACATTGGTGCACACCATAGCTGCGAATGGCCTCGTCGTTGTCCTTGATCGGTTCAATGGCGCCAAGAATCTCGTCGGGAATGTTCAGCTTGGAGAGCTTGGTCAGCTGCCTCAGGGAGTTGTATGCCTAAATACACATAGAAACCAGACACTGCATCATTTAGACTGGCCGGTAAATGAAGAGAGCAGGATTTCAGATCAGTGACCGAGGCAACAAAAAATACTACGACCACGCTCAACTCCACGGCAACAGGTACCAGTACGGGAACATTGCATGGTCTCACTTTGATAGACAACCTTACTTTAGACCCAAACCCCCGCTGTGTATGAGACTGTCCACACCGTAGTGATGCAGGTAATGTACACACTAGCCAGCTTCAAAGGCCGAAGAAGAATGCAGCAGTGTCCCAAGTCTAATTCACCACCAGTATGACAAGTTTGGCAACGTTTTTAAAGAACACCATCAACACATGTTTTACCTGAATGGGAAATATACCAGGAAGGATTGGACACTTAATTCCAATCTTGCGGCAGTCCCTGACAAACTCTAGGAACACCTCGGCTGAGAAGAAGAGCTGAGTGATGATAAAATCAGCACCGGCGTCAATCTTGCCCTTCAGATGCTGAAGATCATCCTCGTAGTTTGTGCAGTCGGGATGTCCACGTGGATAGCCAGCAACGCAGATGCCAAAATAGTCGCCGAACTCCTGGCGGATCAGCTTTACCAAGTCGCCAGAATAGCCCAGATCTGGGTCAAACGGTTTCCAAGATCCGTCGACTGGCAGGTCTGTGAAGAACAAAGTGGAGCAAATTGGAGTCTATTTACGTTATTTAAAAAAACATAAAACAAAGCAAATTCAGGGTCCCATAGCCATGCGGTGTGTAGGCCAAGCACCAGAGGCATACATGTAGGCTATCTAGTGGCCTCCATATTCTTACATACCATGCCTCATTCCAATCATATGCATGACTTTGGCCATTGGGGAAACACCTTTCCAGACCAACACTGGATTGTATTGTGCAGGTACTTGAGATGTATATGGAAAGGGTACTTTCAAAAGACTACCTGGGAAGGAAGCCATTTGCACTGTCACTGATGATGCATCCATGATGCACTACAGGTGCTGCACGTGTGTGCGGACTTTGCTGCTCTGGAACGAACTTCAAGTGGTACAATTAACTTCTAGTCCCCATGCATTGTTCTGATCTGTCACCAAGCTCCAAGTGGACTGCTCCAGAAGCGCCCATCCTAATAACTCCTTGAGTACATGTACTTAAAATGCCAGGCGTGAGTGCCTGCATCTGGTCCACATTGATTTAGATTATTGCTACTCTGTACAGAACACTCAGCAGAATCTACAAATCAACACCACTACTAGGGAATTCTGGACTGGAAGTTCCATTCTAAAAGCAATACAAGGTTACAAGAGCACAGTAAGAGGGTGACCACTAGTAGAATGGTGTCGCATCAACTAAAAGCTAGTTTTCCAAAAATGCCTAATATCACCAACTTCAGCATAGAGAAAGCAAAGCTTTGATCAAGGAGAACACTGCATGGGAACTTGCCCACTTTGACAGCCAGATAACAGTTAAGTTGCCCATTGGCCTACTCATAAAATCGTAAGTGTGAAATCTCCTAGGCAATGGAAAAGAGTACTATTAGGGGTCGTCGCAAAAGTTTTCTGTCGTCCCTGAAACGAACATCGTTCATTTCGTACTTGGACCCCCTCCCTCCCTCTGAAACGAACACAGCTTGCTATGCTGGACGACGAAAATCGCGTGCATGTACATGTCATGTGTACAGTGTCGGTCGACTTGCGATTTTGGCTCGCTCCCCCCCCCCCCCCCCCCAAATGAATCATGTTCGTTTCAGGGACGACAAAAAACTTTTGCGACGACCCCTTACTACAAGTAGCTTCTATGGCATTGCATGACTACTGGTAAGTTGAAAGTTATTTTTAGCAGAAACCATACTGCTGTAACGCTTCAAATGATGCGCTCCGCCTCGATTTTACTGCCAGGGAACGGAAAATGGTATTTCAGAGTGCAAAACGTGTGTACGGTGTGAGAACCTTGGTATACTAAGGGTGCGTTCTTATACTCTCTAGCTTCTCGGAAAAGAAGAAAAGAGAAGTCGAGGAAACTGGTATAATTTAAGAACGGGTCACGAAGAAATAGGAGATATTTTGCACGTGTGAAGCAATACGAAGCGCCAAGGGGGCCGCGATCTTGAGTACCACGAATATAGTACATGTACGCATTGTGCGTATGCAAAAAGGGAAATGCGTACACTCATGATCAACACATGGCTTTTATATTCTTCGACACAAGCTATATCACTTTGTTTTTGCCCGTACAAGAGGCTGTCGGATACACATGGCTTTTAGCTGTAGTTCGCATGCGCTGATCCCAAACCGCGGGAATCTCCAGGATATAAGAACATCTCTCGAACTTTTCCGAGAGTTTCCAACTTTTCCGAGAGGATTTAAGAACGCACCCTAAGATCACATTTAGTTTCCTTGTGTGCAGCTCCAAAGAAAACTGAGTACGGATTGACTGCACAGCATGCAATGTGCATACAAGGTATGTGCTGTATGACCAACACACAAAACACAACTTCCACAGCACGGCCACAAAAGGACGAGTTGGTGGGGCGCTCTGGCGATACTTTACGGTACTTGTCCAAGTATCACCAAGAGTACATAATCCCAAGAGTACGCAACTTTGCATATGGGGTCTGGCGTGGCACGCTGCCTGCATCACGTAACCACAAACTCTGGGCCATTGCGTCATTATTGATCTGCTACGGTTTCCTGCTTCCAAATATCGCTTTCCTCGGAGACTTTGGATGGTTTCGTACGCGATGTGTCGCATACTGGCATTGCCTTTGACCTGACCATATTGCACGGGAAATCGTTGCCGCTAAACCGTAGGAAAACTCAAATCCAGGCAGCTGGATCATCATTTCACTACGCAATGAAGGCAGTGCGCCGCGCAGGGCGTCCACAGCTCGGAGATCAGAGTTGCACACTCTTGGGGCCATGCACTCTTGGTATCAGTAGCGCCAAGAGTACATAACCCCCCAGAGTATGCAACTCCCACATACCCTGCTGTCCCGACAGAATTTCAAGTTGACGTCATTATTTATGACGCAATGCTCCTTGCACCAGTGATTTACAACATGGGTACGGGTGTCAACGCATCACACGTTTTTCTTTGCAATAATTTGTGCAGGATCGATCGGCTTCGGTCAACCACAGGTTCCGGATTCGTCTGATAATCCGTGTACAGTGCGCATTGCATCATCAAAATGACGGCAAATTGAAATTCTGTCGGGACAGCACCCATAGTGGAGTTGCACACTCTGGGGGGTTATGTACTCTTGGTAGCGCCCCACGGGTAGCTGTGTAGCTGTGCATAGTTCACACGCGGTGTGTGTAGTGTGAAGACACCATGGGTGATCTGTACATGCCCAGTACCATCACATATCCCATGGAGAATGCCACGTAGTGACCAGCATGACCCTTCCGTCACTTTTCCTGTTTCCTGAATACTAATACGTCCCGTGCCATCGCGTACAACTACCTCAAGATGTCAAACTACAGGTACATAGCAAGCATAGTTAGTATTAGTTAGCACCCCCCCCCCCCCCTCACCTTCCCTCCCCACAGTGGAAGCTCTTTTGTTGATTTACAATAGAGGCTATGCGATTACATCATTGGTTGAGATTAAGGGTGATACGAGTATCTATTTTGACCAATCGATCACTCGTTCATAATATTCGATCGAGTATCCGATTATTTCGACTATTTTATGAAAATTCAAAAGCGCTAGATTTGTGAGTTCTCGGCCAATTCAGGAGAAATTATCTGTGAACATAGAGCAAAAGTCGCCAACGTCTTGTACAGAGTGTAAAGTAACGATTTTCATATTACTTTCATATCTCAGATCGTTACTTGCCGTGGTGATCGCATTGTCCAAGTCATAAAATACTGACTCAAAGGAATGCATAAGGCATGCAACCATGTACAGTACAGTACAGTGGCCTGCTAGTGGACGAGCGGCGTAACAAAAGTTTTTGAAAAATAGAATGCCAATACCAAAAAAAAAAAAAAAAAAAAAACGACCGAGTGCAAAATTTCGAATACTCGCTCGTTTGAAATTTTCGAACGAATACTCGAATATTCAAACTAATCGTTTCACCCCTAGTTGAGATGCATTGGCAAAAGCACAGTGATGCACTTGGTCAAGTGAAAGTTAAAGGAAACCGCTGGCTCGCGCTATGTAAGAGGCTCTGCCAAGTCACGCAGTATACATCGCACCCATAAGAGGCTGCGCCGACTCACGCAGTATACATAGCGCCAAGAGTACATAACTCCCATGAACTCTTGATAGCGCCCATAAGCGGTTCCGCTGACTCACCGCCATGACATCATTCCCATAACCTCTATGACTATTATAGTGGCATGCGGAACATAATTCAGTCTGCAAGCCATATATATAATATGGACAGACAGACGACTGTCAAATTCCGATCTCACGTGTCATGTAGCACAGCACACCCCATTTCTATACAGGCTACAGCTACAAACATGCTGCATGACAGTACGTACTAGAATACCTAGTATACATGCAACAGATGATTGCTTACCTCCGCGTAACGCCAAAATATTCTTGATACCCTGGTTCTTAGCCTTGGTGAGATTTCTGATGACCTCCTCCTTGGACTGATGGTACGCTAACGTAATGTGCAACATTGTATCCAGTCCACTATAATTAGTCGCAGCATGAGCAATCATCAGAGAGCTGGTTGGCTCGTCTGACGCTGGTTTACCAGCCGGATGCCACGTAACATCAATGAACAAGGGCTGTCCATTGCGAATACGGTCGAATCGAGCCACCAAATTTGATGCTCCAGCTGGTGTACGGGGCGGAAAGAACTCTAGAGAAAAGAATGGAGCTTTGGATTTGATGCGACCATTTATTTTCTCGATTATCCTTCCATTCCAGCCATCATCTCCAAAGCCTGAGGAGGCAGGTGATTGCGAGCGTGAGCTCTCACCTGACGACGACGGACCAATAGTTAGCTCCATATTGGCCTGCTCCTGAGGAGCACAAATGTCACCGAGTCTCTCCAACCATTCCAACCTCGACTGTGAACACGACCGTCGTACAGCACTTCAAATAGCTGGTATAAACTCACTGATATTTCTACTTGTAGAAGTACTACAGTACAATACCGTACTTTGTTCAAAAAGTGGAGAAATTCTGACGCCATGTTGGCACTCTAGCCCGGCCCTAGCTCTATCACGAGATACTGAGTAGCTAGCTAGCTGGCAGCTAGCCAGCTAGCTAGCTAGCGATCTAGCGACCTAGCTCAGCGGGTGCGTGCACGGACGGTCGGTGCAGCAGATAGCGTTAGCTAGCTAGCTAGCTGCAAAACAGTACGGATACGATCACCTGATCACGGATCAGACACATGTGATACTGATAGATCAGCTGATAGCGACCACGTGGTGCCTTGACATGCATATGTGCATGCATATGCATGCATGCGCAGCATCGATGCACATGCGCATCATGCATGAATGGCATGCGATTGCCTCATGCTAATCTGATCATCGATGCATATCGCATCTAGTAATACTTATTATATAATCAAGAGGGGTTATGTACTCTTGATATAATGCATAGGCTACAATGCATTGTTGTAAGCGCATAACTCGACTATTCCATACTCCATATTACTACCATAGTTTAGAATATAGCAGCTCAGTACATGTAGATCTACATGACATACATGACAGTAGTATGATATACATGTACATCAGTCATCCCACTCTGCAGCTACGAGTATTGAGATTCCTCCTGCAAAGCGAATTCAATGCACACAAAAGTAAAAGACAGAACTACCACCAAGACTAATGAAGACTGGCACTGAGAGCCCAAATACCAAAGGCCAAACCAGCTCAGCTGGGCACTTGTCAGTGGGGTTACATGTATTCATGGTATGGTCTGTACAGGTACTTGTTTGACTAGTAGTAATTAACAGTGTTATCAGTACTCAGCGCCTGCGGCAATACCCTTTCAGTAGTCTTCGCAGTAATGAGGCAATACTCTGTCTAGCCCAAGGTCCGCCTTGCGTTCCCAGTGAATTTCCCACAAGTGTCACAATACAAAGACATTTAGGTACAATGAAATGTCTATGTTACTTTACAACAGGTTGTAGCTAGGCATGCGCAGTCATAAGCATGCCAAAGACAAAGTACCCTACAAGTACCGACTGGTAAAAATACAAAAAACTTCAAGTACTTGTACAAAAAAGCCCAGGCTATGCCAAAAGGCATTATTATTGCATTGCATCATCGCTTCACTGATATCATGCATGATGCATGTGTTGTATTGATTGATTTCTATTTTGAGTAAATACAACCAAGAGTACATAACTCTTGATACAATGCAAGCATCAAAGAACACGCGAGTGGCAATTTTCACTCAAAAACGGATAACTACAACTTCTTGCATTTCATACATGCACTTCCACGCAGATATAGATACAGTAGGGAAAGATGGGGGGATTAGAGTTACAACGTATGCAGTCATACTCATGGTACTTGTAATAACGGTTCATTGCTCCATATAAATGCACTATAAACTGTCAACAGAACAATGGTCACACGTGCATGGTCCTACACAGGTCGGGTCACCGTGTTGTGTGGATCTCACTGCCACTGTGACCCAGCGGTCAATGCGACCACAGATCGACAGCAAACCGCGCAATGCGTGTACAACGTACTAGCTAGCTATGGCCTGCAGATGGGACTTTCTCATCCGCTCCACCTCCACCAATACACAACCACAAGCGGGCGAGACGCTCTCGCAGTGCTTTACAGTGGAAATGGTTCTGTTCAACTATCACAAGTCCTGGCTATTTACATTGAAGTAGAACCAGAGATTGAGTAGAGAGTAGAATAGAGCAACACTGGGAGGAGTGGGGAGCAAATGCACTGGGATCAACGAGCACAAACGTACACGCGGTACGCAAGTATTCCTCACGCAGTGTTGATTTCAAAACCCCATGTCTACGGTGCCGATGTGGAAACATCGCAACGCTGATGCCAGGTACAGTTCAGCGCTGCATCACACACACACACACGCACGCGCGCACCCACGCACACACACACGCACACACACCACTGGCATAGCGCACAATGCCTCATCGTGTTAAAGACGCACGCCAAAGAGCAGAATTCTACTTTAACAGTCAACAGTAGTGAGACCAGCACCAAGGCAGTGAAAAAGAAGAAGAAAAAAAGAGCAAATTGGACGGTGCAATCGCAGCGGCTACTATGGTCATCAATGATTCAACAGAGAGCAAACACAGGTATGAGCCAGGGGCCTGGAAAGACTGAGCGCGTTTGTAAATGACCTGCGAACAACCAGGTTAGACAGATGCTCAATACCTAAACCAGGACGTTGTTTAGATGCACACACTCTAATTGTTCTAGTGTGGACAAGCTTTGCAAATGAATTCATTTCATCGCTGATCACTCCTGAAATAATTAAAAATTCATAGAGATCTAGCGCAACGAGGTACTGATGCCTCGCTAAGGTACACACCCACAGGCCAGCTGGGGCCAAGGCATTCCAAGGAAGAAACCCACGAACATCTAAAATAAGTCAGGCGGAAATGATTCAAGTGAGCCAGTCATTTTCTGGCAAATGACCTCGCACCTATGAAGCACGGGCGCGTGCCAATATATCTGGACAGAGGACATTTTGCTCTAGTCCGGCTACAAGAGTGGAAGTTACTCAGACAAGTAGAATACCGCGGTACGACAAATGTGACACATCCGCCGGCAACTTAGACCGGCATGTGCAGTAAAAAACACCACACAAAACCAATAACTGAATGTAGCTTGCCGTTCCATTTGGCTCAATTATTGTTTGCTTACTGGTGGCTGGCACAGGAGCATGGGAAGCTGAAAAGGATGGCAGTACCCTCAACGAAGAATAACGCCAAGCTTGTCAGCAACCTTGGCACGGATTCTTAGCTGCAAAACCAAACATGATAACAGCAGAAAAGTCGAGTCACAGGGATTTGCAACAGAACCAGGCATAAGCAAGGCGGATAGAAACACAACAGCAACAACAGCAACAAAGCGTCACAAACAAGCTACCAACCTGGATATCATTTATCTCCGTGTTCAGAAGTTGCCTGGTGTGAAAACACACAAACACACACACACACACATACAGGCACACACACACCATGTACCACACACACACACACACACAAACAGACACACCAGCAGAACGTTAGCGGAAACAGAATGTCAAGAGTATGGATTTCTGCACACACACACACAAGTGACCCGGCATCACAGGCACTGCTCCTGCAGTTTGGTCTCATTCGGCTGGTCCTTGCACTGGTGGAAGCCTCGTTGGCAGAAACAACTGGCCCCGGCATAGAGTAACTAGCTACTGAAAGTACGTACTCAACGCTTAGCATCATTCATGCCAATGTGCTAGCTCCACAGTAAACACCACACACAACAAATGACAACCATTAGCATTTCAAATGCTTCAATCTCAAACGTCGTCTCCACCAGCCCAGCTGAACTCGAGACAAAATCCTAAATCGACTAAACAAAACTTAGAATTAAAAAAAAAGTGGGTTTGGGTGGGGCAGCAAGGAAACAGTATTGTACTACATGTAAATATACAAAGCATGTAGTAAACAGTAGCTCAGCATCAGAACAGGGGAAATTTATACTTGCACTGAATAACAGTGATGATTATGATTTAAACCAGAAGACATGCTCTCAGCAAGATCAATACGGAGCAGTCAGTAACCATTACATCATGTGCCTAACCAGGATACGACAAGCATAGAAACAGCAAGCAAAGCTGGAAACCAGTTTTTTTGGCCTCGTGCTTGTCCACTGAAAGTCGTAATTCGGGCGTGATCACAAAATCGTTTCATACCACGTGGATCTGAATCTCATCAAATTCACCACGGACTCCGTGATGACGGCATGCACACCAGTGTGTTTACTTCTTCGGGTATTCATAGAAGCCTTGGCCGGTTTTCACACCAAGGTGGCCCTTCTCGACAAGGGAGTTGAGCATCGCGCTGGGCTTGAAAAGAGGATTATCCGGGTACTTCTGGTGCCATCCGTCCAGAATGAACTTAGTCGTGTCAAGGCCGACGTAATCCAGGAGCTCAATGGGTCCCATCGGATAGCCAGCACCGAGCTTCATGGCCGCATCGATGTCGCGGAGGCTGGCGTCCCCTCGCTCTGCCATCCGCACACTTTCTGCCAGATATGGCACCAACAAACGGTTGACGATAAACCCTGCAGTGTCACGGCACTTTACCGTGTGCTTTCCAACCGCCTTGCCAAAGCTCTCCAGGGCAGTGAACGTTGCATCACTCGTTTGTTCAATACTGATTACCTCCACTAACTTCATAACAGGCACAGGATTGAAGAAGTGCAGGCCACCAAACCGATCCAAACGGGCTGTGGATTCAGCAATCTCACCAATTGGCAGTGAGGACGTGTTCGAAGCAAATATCGTCTTCTCCGGGGCGGCCTTGTCCAGGGACGAGAAAAGCTTACGCTTGACCTCGATATTCTCGACAATGGCTTCCACGACCAAATCACTGTTCATAGAGGCAACAGCCGCACAGGGATCCGTAGCAGTAGAAATTCGTGCTACAACGTTGTCAACAAACTGGCGCTGGGCTTCTTCGCCCTCGATCTTCTTCTTGGCGACGCGGGACAGGCTCTGTTCAATTCTCTTGACGGACTTGTTCAGGATATCTTGCGAAGTATCGCACAGCGTCACCTTATGCTCCGACTGTGCAGCGACTTGTGCAATGCCAGATCCCATCAAACCGCCCCCAATCACAGTGACATGTTCGACTTTGCCTGAGAGACTCCTCGCAAACACTGGTTTCCCGAGCAGGGAGGAGGCAACGCGACGAAGAGGACCAACGGAGGCCATACTGTTTTCGTAAGTGCACGGACAATGAAGACCAAATGAGACTGGAGAAAGGAAGGGTTCAAATAACTTCTCTGCAAATCGTCCTGCTTGAGTTGAAAACAAACTCAAAAGTACCATGCAACAACAAGAACATCAAAAAATCAAAGAAAGTCGTCGATGCACGTGACGAGATGGGGGTGTGTGTTGTCAAAGGTCAAACGTGGACTGTGTGATGTCAGAGACACTCAGACAGGCCAGGTGCAGGTGCGAGCCGTCCAAACCAGGGAGTACATGTAGTACAAATACCGTATTGTACTACTCCCTGGTCCAAACACTGAACAGCAAAGCTTGGCATCGCATCACCATGCAAATCTACTGTCATAGCCGCTACATTTTCTCGACTATCCTTCACGAAGAAATCCATATTCACCGGGCCGTTGGAGCACCCAAGAAGATCACAATGCAATGTAGAGGAAACCTGATTCTTGAGCACTGACTCTAATCTGTCACTGTGGGGAGAGACCAACTGCATTCGATATTCCAGACCAGTCACTTCCGAAGTACAGTAGTAACATTACAGGTCCTGGTCCATGTTTCTCCAATCGAATGCCGATATGCTCAGCTCTTGCAACTACCATGACTAAACGACAGTGTATGCTTTGCTCCTGAATAAATTCGGAAAGTGGTGGCGGGGCCCTGCTGCTCCGTCGACCTAGCTTGGTGGTATCGGCGTCTGCACAGACAAAGCGCGTCAGGAAACGAGGGGGAGAATATGTAAAAGAGAAGGACACTGAACAAGACATCGCTCATGTGCCTGTTCTTTGTATGGGTACTGCAAAAGTAGCTGATGCCACCCTACGCACAGCCGGGATACACACCATTGGCCACCAGCTGTCTACCCTTTTCACACATGTGCACGTGCACAGTGTTCAAGCACACCGTCTCCCTCTCTTCTACCTTGCCTCTTCGCAAACTTGTTACCGGGAAGAAACACGAGTTCGGATCTGCGAAATATAAGACAACCATCATCAATGATCATCATCAGCCGAACGTCAACTATCCGAACGATCCATGATTATGTCAGAAACACTTGATAAAATTGAAGTGAAGGGAGAACATGACGGTTTTTGATGGTTTTCCTCACCACTGACACCATTGAAAAATGATGTACAGGAAGTAGTACGGCAGTGGGTTGGTGTCAACATGTATCCCAATCAGGGTGTCAACATGTATCCCAATCAGGGTGTCAACATGTATCCCAATCAGGGTGTCAACATGTATCCCAATCAGGGTGTCAACATGTATCCCAATCAGGGTGTCAACATGTATCCCAATCAGGGTGTCAACATGTATCCCAATCAGGGGTGATTTCGAGGACTTGGGGGTGTGCCTGTGCCATGTGTAAAGTCGACCTACTCTCATAACGATATTTGCATCAGATGAAGAAATAGTGTAAAAGGGTACTAGTAACTGGGTCATTTCATACAATGTCATGTTCCACATAAACTCATAATGCATGTTTTTCTCTCCATTTTTACACCCTCGTCCACAGCGTCAAGAACGTATGTGCCGTAAAGTACCGTTGATCCGCCCCCTCTCTAATTGCCCCCCCCCCCCCCCCTGTCGACTTGCTGCCTGTGAAGCGACTTCGGCGTATACAACGAAATACGATGTTGAACCGACGCATGCACTGATGTACTCAATATAAGCAAGTGGAGGATGAAAATGTGTACAATCCAGCACATCGAGTTTGGTCTTCCACGTCGTTGTACATCGTACTGCACTTGACAGCCTTGATCTAATTCCCGCCCCCTGCCGAAAACCCAGCTGGGAAGCGACATCGCGGGGGGGGGGGGGGGGGGGATCAACAGTACTTTACGGTACATGAATGTTCTCTGCAAAATATGTACGCAGTGTCCCTGTGTCGAAAGACCACCTGCTATTATTTACAGGTTAGTGCAGTACAGTGAGGGCCTTATGGCTGGTAACACAGGTTAGCTAAAGGGCCATGCGCCCGACTATACAACTTACAAGTGCAATGCGTACTACCTTCTTTAGCGGCAACAAAAGACTTTCAAGTTCAAGATTGGCCTGACACTGAAATAGAACTGCTTCATTTTTCACGCCACCTGCATGCATGCATGTACCATAGGTTTTTTCGCTACACAAAATGAAAAGAAATCAAGCCGGGCGAAAAAAGGTGACTTCCTTCAAACCCATGATCATCAGAAAGGATGACACAGGACGCACCGATATGCAAGACATGTGCACATTATGTGGTAAAGTCGTCTGTAGAGCCCTTAGTTTCCTTACCTTTCATGCGACCTGAAGTTGAGCCGGTAGCAGTAGCTGGAGAACTTGGCATCGCCGGGCTTCGCTTTCGGATTCTCAAAGTAATCCACCTGCGTGCAAGTTACACACAAGTTAGCATGGTGTTAGACTGGTACACAGCACAGCACAAGAGACCAGGATGGTAAGGTGTTAGACTGATACACAGCACAGCACAAGAGACCAGGATGGCTTGGCAAGAGCTTGGGGACGGAAGGAAGTGAAGGAAAGGAAACAACAAGAAGCAAAAAAACTCCCACTGCAGCCCAACAAAACAAAAGAAGAAATTTCCACGCACCCCATGCCGGTGAGGCATCTGTTGAAAAGTTGGTGCTGCTGCTGCACACTGCGGATACTTAAAATGCTGCGTGATCAGAACCCACAAAGTGATGGGGCTGGAGTGGTACTAATTGAAGAGCTTGATTGCAAAACGCTGTATATTTCATTACTTTTCGGATAATGGCCAAAAAGCGATTCATTTTATGCGTGATCCGTATCTAAGGGCATGTTCGATTGGTAGGATCCGGATCCAGATCAACCGGATCCACTGGATTCGCACCCTTTCGATTGGTCGAATCCGGATTCGGATTCTTAGGATTCGGATTCGGTCAACCCACCTTGTGGACCAGGATCGGGAGCAGGGTTGTCTCGATCCACCGGATTATTTTTTTGCCAAAAATCGTACTCTACGTGAAACGCGTATAAATGGCAGAAATAATAGCGATGATGCGGAAATTCAGTTTGGCATGCGGAAATCGTTGCTTTCTCTCATGGAAACCATCAAAAATCACTAAAATTCCAGATTCGATCGAGGACAGCGTTTGATTGGACCTTGGTGGATCCAAAGGATCCACTCAATCGATCTGGATCCGGATCCAACCAATCGAACATACCCTAAACCCATATTTAGCGGACAGTTTTGAAGTGGTTCTTGGTAGATTTTGAAAGTGAAATTTCGCTTGAAGGTGCCCCTAGACATTTGATCGAACTGATATCAAAATCTCAATTTCTCAAATTTGGCGCCTACAGCGTTTTGCAATCAAATTCTTCACATATAACTGCAGAATGGCTCAAGGTGCCTTACCTTTTCAATCCACTCGATGAGATCACCTGCCTCCTCACGGGCAATCTCCATCAGACTGCGAACACAGGCACACGTCAAAAGTACGGGAGAAATACTCACAACTGCCACAGGCTATCATGCTCCCTTAGGCATTGGTCACACTACGTCAAGTTTGAATCTGGACGCAGCGTCACACTCAAGCACTTGACACTGACGCGGAGTCACACTGCATTTTCGCTTTTGCCGTCGCGATCTGATGCACTTCACAAAACCACTCTGTGGCTAACCAAATCCCTACGATAGACTACGGTACGGTACGCTAATCTCAAAAGACACTGTTTTTCATGTAAGCGCTTGCAGCGGCAACGCAGCCGATTTGCTTGCGTCAAATGCTGCTGCGTCTAACGCTCAAATTTCCCGCATTTTTCGTCAGTTGCCATGGAAAAACTCATGTGTCAGAGTGACTTCAGATGCTGATGCAGCATTTCTGCCGTAGTGTGACCGGGGCCGTACAGGCAGCAGCTATTCAAAGTCACTTCCCAATAAAACAGGGGGGGGGGGGGGGGGTACTATTTACGCAATGTCTCTAAACTAATGTATTGCCCGATGTTAGCAGTTCAATTGAACTACATGTAATTTGTGGAGGTATGAATATGATAAGACTACGGTGCACCGAGGGCAGTCTTCTGGTAGCTGATCGATGACATTGTTCATCACCACAGCGGGGACAACGAAAAGCATGCGGGAAGAAGCGATCCAGCTTCGCCAGCGGAGTGGAGGACACCACATCCTGTGTCAGTTGTCCACAATGCTAAAATAATCTACTTTGCCACTGCGCTCACTGGAGGGGGGGGGGGGGGGGGGGAGGGGGGGGGGCTGTACCTTCCTGAACTCTGGAATTCAAGAATCCAACCACTAACTGCCTGCACTAACAATTTGACATGTTCAGCAATGTTTACATTGTCACAAGAGCTGAAAAGCAATGTGAACCAGCCTCAGCCCACCCCCACCCTGTCTCTCTGCGCCTCAGTCAAAGCCTGGTGTGCCCAAGGCCAATGCCTGCACTTACTCATTTTCACCGGCAAAGTCCTTCCCTGCTGTTGTCCAGAAGCTAACATCTTTGTGACAGACTGCAAACTTGCTGAACGGCTGCCGGAGAAATACGACAGTACAGCACAGGCCATGAAAGAAGAAGAAGAATAGAGAAACAGAACAACCTTTGGTAAACTCTGAACACCTAAGCAGCTAAATGCAACTACAGTTCATGCGCACAGACAGAGAACAGGAAGAAGAGTTTGTTTGATGTTAAATACTATGGAAGTTGAATCTCTAACGAGGCACAACGTTTAGGGTAGTATGCTAGTACTGCTCTCTTCTGCAGGATAATTTCGGGCAGCTGATAGCCCTTCTAATTCTACCACCTGATGACATCGTCCAGGCTTTTCATTGGATGCTTGATGAAGCCGAACACCTCCATGTGTAAATGCCCAAGTCACACACACACATGGCATACTACCGTGAAGTACCGTTGATCCGCCCCCTCCTCCCCCCCCTCCTCCCCCCCCCTCCCCCCCCCCCCCCCCCCGATGCCATGTCGCTTCCCAGCTGGGTTTTCGGCAGGGGGATGGAATTAGATCAAGGCTATCAAGTATAGTACGATGTACAACAATATGGAAGGTCAGACTCGATGTGCTGGATTGTGCATATTTTCATCCTGAACTCGCACATATTGTGTACAGCAGTGCCTGCGTCGGTTCAACACCGTACTTCATTGTAGACGCCGAAGTCGCTTCACAGGCAGAAAATTGACAGGGGGTGGCAATTAGAGAGGGGGCGGATCAACGGTACTTTACGGTATTCACATTCAGAAGGAACTCACCGTGAATTGGATTTGTGCATTGATATCATTACGAGCTGGCTCAAACTGGTCTAGGAACCGGTGATACGTCCTGAACAACACAGCAATCACCACACAGCGCACACAGCAATAACCACACAGCGTACACACAGTGCACAGCAGTTAGATACAAGCACAGATCAGGAACCTAACTCTATACCGGCATAAGATACAGCAGCGTGCAAGCACGGACAGCCAGGTCTCCACAGACTCATGAGTGCAGCTTTGCACTCTACCAGAGGCCCCTTTCGCCTCCGATCACGCTTCAACCATATCAGCCAGAGCGAACGGAGTAAGTGGAGAGCGGGTATGCCGAGCTGCTATCCTGTCAGCAAGCTAATACTGCCACGAAGAGAACATGGTAGTTAACGCAATTTGGGGTCACCAATCACAACAAGCCTGGAAAGCTACGGCTAGTTGTTGGCACTGTGTCGAAAAGTGGTGGGAGAAGCTTGAATGATGCTCTAAAAGTGAATGGAAAAGGCACGTACAAATACACTGCGCTGTGTCGGTTTTTCAAACTGCACTACTAGTCCACTGTGCTTACGTCCAGAAGAAGCGGATATCAGGAATGCCGTAAAGGATCATCGCTAGCCGCTCCAGGCCTACACCAAATGCCCAGCCAACCTTACTGGATGCACCTAAACACACCCACACCAAGCACACACGCACATGCACGTATGCACACATACACATGCAAACACACACACACACACGTGCGCGCATGCACACGTGTACACACACGTGCAGAGGTAGACAGACAGACAGACACACACACACACAAACACAGACCACCAGAAAGACACACACACACATACAAAGTTGTTCACTCATAAATAAATATTGCAATAGCAACTGTTTCGCCATACATATGATCAGGCACTGCCTGTTGACACTACAGGGACATTCAACAATGGCAATAGTGCTACCTTTGTTGGGTCTTCACAGAGCACTATTAGTTCCAACTGGATATCCCACAAATGGTGCAGAGAACTTCAGACAAAAATGTACGTAATTTCACTACTAATTTGATGCCCTTATCTTAAACCGGGGAGGTTTCTAGAGGCAGAACATCAACCACTCTCACCAATTCCATAAAGCCCCATCACCAAGTCCTGTAGGGCTGCTAGGTGAATTAATTCCACGCTAGCTACAGGACAGCTCACACAATCCCCAGTGATACCGTTAGCTGCATTCTAGAAGAGAAGCGATGAGGATTGAAGTGGATTAAAGGTACTGCTCCGTAGGTTGCAGCAAAGTTCGAATACTCTTCACAAGGGTGGTGATAGAGATCGGGCGCAGAGAGCTCTAACCTGCTTGGTCCAAGATCTGCTGTCTCATGATACCGCAACCAAGAACTTCCAACCACTGGTCCTGGAAGTAGATGTTGAGCTCCCAGGACGGGTGAGTGAAAGGAAAGTACTGTGGATGAAAGAAGAAAGAAAGAAAGGAGAGAGAGAGAGAGAGAGAGAGAGAGAGAGAGAGAGAGAGAGAGAGAGAGAGAGAGAGAGAGAGAGAGGAGAAAGAGATAGATAGATAAAGAGAGAGAGAGAGAGAGAGAGAGAGAGAGAGAGAGAGAGAGAGAGAGAGAGAGAGAGAGAGAGAGAGAGAGAGGGAGAAAGAGATAGATAGATAAAGAGAAAGAGAGAGAGAGGAGAAAGAGATAGATAGATAAAGAGAGAGAGAGAGAGAGATAGAGAGATAGATAAAGAGAGAGAGAGAGAGAGAGAGAGAAGACGGCAGTAGAACAGAACACTAAGAACCGGAAGGTTGCTCAATACTGGGCCAACCGATTGGAGATATACTGACAACTGATAGTTGCAAGAGTGGAAGACTCCAAGGCAGCATCAGACACAACACTAGTACAGTAATGGTGGTAAAACACGCCTGCTGAAATGACGGTAAATATACCTCCGCACACACAACACTGTCTAAGCTGCAAAGTTCTTGCAAACAGCACTCTTTCTCTCACCACCACCATCATCAGGTTGCACCTGGCCGATGCATGGCGGGTGATATCGCATTACTAGTAGCTGGTCGGTACATCAGCTGGTGGCGTACAGACGATGACACAGGTAGGACTTGGCTCGGATTGCGACGTATATTTCGTCCCTGCTGGACTCGTCAGGCAATCTTCTCACTCAAGGCGTCAACCATTTCGCCATTTGTTTTTACTACGCTTGCTCCCCTAGAGTTGATATTGACCCAAGTAAACACACACACACATTACCGGACATACCTCGCCTGCCCACTCAGTCTTGATGTCAGCACCAAACAGATGACGCACAAGTCCTGCACAGAGAAATCATAGTGTACAGACAGCGCAAATAAGAAAGAAAAAAAACAGCTCACAATCCCTGTCCTTGTGTGCAAAGCACATTATGTCCACGACCAGCACAGGAAACACATACTGGAAACTGGAGATACAATTCTTCGCTTTGCTGCATTCAAGTATGAGAGGTTTAAATACACACAGGAAGTGCCTACAGCCAAGAGTACTATTCATACAGAATACTAGTACTTGCCCTGGAAAAAAATAACTTCGCGACTTTTTTGTTCACACCCCAAGAAGCTACTGTGATCAAGAAGAGATTCGGTTCAGTGGAACAAAAAAATTAAAGACAATGGGTACATATGTACACCATTATACAAAATAGATTGGTACTGCATGAGTCTCACTCGGGGTCGCCATCGCTCAATTCACTAGAACTTACAGGTCGAGTGAAGTCACAATATTATTCTTTATTTACACGATGGCCCATGGCCAATAAGGAAGCTTAGTTGTACCCCCCCCCCCCCCCCTCCCTCTCCACCTCTGAGGGCTGGTGTCCAACTTGAGTCAATCCTACACTGAATGAACACATACCTTCCAGCGTTGACTTGAGCTCTTTCTCGAGAACTTCAGTAGTGGCTAACCAGCAGCAGGAACAACAGTAGCAGCAAAACCTAATTCTCAGCATGGGTGAAAGTTTTTAACAATCACATTTTCGTTTCACTGCTACCCTACCCTGGTCGCGATTCACCTACTTATCATACTTATCTTGCTCATTTGAAGTCTGCGAAACAACCATTGTGACAGCGTTTTTCTCAGTCGGTTACCTCAGGTTTTAACATAATAAGCAATGAAACATGCATGGCCAGTTTTGCCTGATGGTGGCCTAAAGTGCTGGCAAAGGTTGAGTAGCTATATCCATTCCTTGGATTAAAGTACTTAGCAAGTTGAGGCAGATCACCAAACCGGCTGCTGGCCAGCCTGCATTGTGAAAGCACATGTCTACAAGTTCGAACGCGGGGGCCATTGTCAGATCGCCAAAGACACGTGTTGCTGGGGGTAAATGTCAAGCACTAGCAGTACCTACCACATCGGTCAATTGAGAATTCCGGCCACCGATTCTTTGTAAATGACATAAAACACATCACCAGCTCTACAACAGTTGCAGCTTTCTCCGACAACATGCCGGAGATCTCTGCAATCTCTATAGGGCTTGAAAGTGCTACGTCACAGCATAGCAACAATTTCAAAAATTCAAAAATTGGATCCACTTGGATCCAGTTTTTGTATGGATCCAAGCACATTTCAAGCCGTCTTACTCACAGCAAGGTGATGTAACCAGTGAAACTGACTGATTTGGCTACTGGGGGCGGGATTACAACTGGTGGCGAAGTAAAAGTCACCCCTGCATACGACATGAGTAGGTTGCTATGCGCCCACATACTGAGGCAATAGCAAAGTCACACCTTAGTGGATCCAAAATAGAAATCTGATGTCAACTTAGTACTCCCTGGCCGTTTTTGACGTCATCACTTTCAAGCCCTATTGGGTACTTCACAGTGAACATGCGCTAAGCTCAGCAGCCCCCCCCCCGCAGCAGCAGCAGCAGCAGCACCAGCTGCACCAGTACAACCAACATCAGCACGAAACGTGTCAGTGTGAATAGCCTGTAGTTGCAGCTTACCTGGGTTGTGTGTTGATTGTCTCTCAGCTGTGTCTTCAGAACCCTCCACAAAAAGACTCGGTGGATGGACTTCGTTTGGGAAAAGCTAAGAAGATGGGAAACATGCAACGCCAGCATCATTACTATCCATTCCAGTGGACATCATGTAGGAGGAGTATTTATTTGAACACACATACAAACACACACACACACACACATGCACACACACACACACACACACACACACACACACACACACACACACACACACACACACACACACACACACACACACACACACACACACACACAATTCTAGACACTGCAAGTGCAACACAGTCATAACAATCTTGTTGATTACTGACACAACTTGAGTGTTCGATTTCTGCCAACCATCAATCCTGTACATTTCCATACACACAATCCTACCTCTGCAGATGTGTATAAGCGTACACCCTCCATTTGATGGAAACATGGGTAATGAGTACGGTCCACACAATCTACACCACAAACATGGCACAGAACAGTAAGTCAGTATCTACACTGGCAGTCAAACAAAGGATGCAAGTACATGTACAGTCAACTTTGCGTATAACGACACTCGGCGGGGCATCAGAAAAGTGTCCTTATTCGCAAAGTGTCTTTATACCTGATATACCTGAAGTCTTACTACATGCATACAGGTTAGATGGGACTTTGCTCTGGGCATGGACATTCTGTCGTCATTCGCGCATTGTCGTTATATCCGCAGCCGTTATTAGCGAAGTTGACTGTACCCGCATCCAGCACGGCCACCAGGCCAGAGCAGTCACAGGAATACACAAGCTAAGCTGCAGCTGACACAAGTCGAAAGTATTTTCAACTTGTGTCAGTTACAGGAATATTAAATTTTGGACAGGGTCCTGATAACAGAAAGGAATGACCAAATGCTACGAGCTATGACCAACTGTCCACCAGAGTAACCAGATCATCATATCCAGTCAACAAGTGCAATGTCCAGCGTACTGATAACTCTATTAAGTCTATCTTGTTGAAGTATGACTCTCTAGAGGAATACTTCATTCCGCAACCTAGCAGTATGGACCACAGCCTATTTAGCACAGAGAAACACTTCAGATCCGGACTCCGAGATACTGTAATTTCACAAATTTTCGGTGTACTTTCATTTTCGGTACTTTCGGTGCATCTGGTTCATACCTAAAATTTCAATACACCGAACAAACGCTAAAACACATAATCCAAATAGGAAACTGCTTCTCTGTACCTAAAATTTCTGTTCACCTAACCTGGCCTTTTGCCCTCATACCGAAAAAATTGAGCACCTAAAATTTCTGAAATTAGAGTATGGGCACGTCCATTTAGAAGGGCCACTTATGGACACAAGTTGCCATGTGGAAAGAAAAGACTGATCACGAGAACAAAGACAAAAGAAAGGTACGAAAATGCATTTCAGTGCAATAGCAGAAAACAGGATCATGCACACGTGTGTCGACATTTTTGGACAATCCGGAGGTCTGCGCATCCCCTACTGTCCCAAACCGCTTACCTGTCTGCTGCTGTAAAAGCTAAAAGCAGGACACCATCGCCACGGTGGATTTGATACTTAACCCGAGGGACCCACACAGATTACTATGTGGCCACAGTCTAAAATGGCCCCAGAGCATGCACTATACCTCTTCTGTAAACGTCTCCTGTCACTAAGAATGCATCAAGGCCACTGCGAAGGAATTCCGCCTGCAGTGGAAACAACAACAACGACAACGACGACGATGCCGACGACAAGAACAAGAATAAGAACAACAACAACAAAGCTCACACTTGAGACAACATCGCAAAAGAAGAAAAACAGCCGGTGGAAATGCAGAGCACAGCTCAAGCTAGAGAAACCTGTCATTTTCGCAATTGAAGCTGCTCTTGGAGTGCATACATCAATGGTCCTATGAGATATAAACACATGTACGCGGCCGCCTGCATATGCACACACACACGCACGCACACACACACACACATGCACACACACCCACACACACACACACGCACGCACACACATGGGCACGCACGCACGCACGTACGCACACACACACACGCACACACACACACACACACACACGCACACACACACACACACACACCATAGACGACACTGTAATTACCTGATGAGCTGAAGTGTGGGCACGAAGCAGATAGTCCTTGTTTAACTGCAGCCACACCAGACAGAACAGCGAGAGACAGATAGACATAACACTGAATGTTACGTACAGTACGGCCAGGCGTAACAAAAATTTAAAAAAGCGCGCCGAGGAAAGAACAAGCTAGGATTTGCCAAATACTGTAACAGTTGCACGCACGCGTAGTCAGTGACAACAGTACAGTACAATGTTGACTGCCCGGAACTCGGAAATTCGGACGCTCGATTATCCCGGAATCGCTGGGGTTGCGCATAGAACTACTGGTATATGAACGGTGCACATCGCTGTGCATGCGTACAGAACTGCACACCGCTGTGTATGCGTACAAAAGTGCACACATGATTGCTGCTGTAGTATGTGCATGCTTCCATGCTTGCATGGGACAGCTATTGGATTGACACACACTGTACGTACTGGCTGAATGCACAGTGAGCAACTGATATTGAAAAGAGGAACGGAGCGACATGTGATTAAGGACGTTAAGCAATGCGAAAATTCGCACTTTTGGTGGTGGTGATGTTTCGCGAAAATCTATTTCGAAAAAGAAAACTTGTGAGGTTTAGCAATGCGAAATGACTTTTTCTCGAAGTAATTTGAATCTTATAGTACCGTACCGTATATGCAGCTCAGTCTCAAGCAGGGGGCTGTAAAACTACTACTCCCTGTAGTCAAATGCGTACCGAGAAAAGAGAAAGTTACTTTCGCAAATCACTGCAACTTCGCGTCCAAGTTTTCGAAGTTTCGAGCTTTTTTTCTGTACTCATTCCCAAACTCGAATTTTCTTTCGAACTTTCGCGTTGCTAAACGTCCTTATTATCTGTGTGATCTGTCCTTTTTCTAATCTGAACAGCCTCCTTACCCGAAACCCTCGTGAAGGGGTTCTGCCCAGAAGGCGGCCGGATAATGGAAGTTGCATTATAATTTCCCTCAAAATCGCTAAGTTAAAACCATCGCTAAAATAAAATATTTAATATTTATATATATACCCATTTTTACCATGTCAAACGTTGGTAGTGGTGATGAGAGATTAGCCACTCACATAGTAATTGTCCCCCTTGGCACGTGCTGGATGATCAGCTGGCACTAGGAGCTCATCAAAGTTCTGCTGAACCGTCACGACTAGAGAAACAGATGTGAATAGACACACGCACAGCACAGTAGAGAGTTAGCGGCACGCTGACACGTGGAGACGGGCGGTACGGGCAGGCACGCTGCAGGGCGACTTGCGCAAACCAATCCATGATCACATTGGCTCAACATCCGAGTTCAAAAAGAAGGAGTATAGGAGCAGAGTTGTGAAGCAACACCAGGCTGTAGACATGAGAAAATGTAGCTGTAGAGAGTTGGGCGAGTGCTACTGCAGCCTTGACTACTGACCTGGGTGAACGTCATCTAAGCATGTGAACAGTGGTGCTGACGACGGGTTAGGCTTCCGGTAAGTCTTCTCAAAGTACTCATGTATGCGCCTCTGGAGCAGCAGAAACCGTAGAAAGAATACACTGATAACACATAATGACAGAAGGGTCCAGATGCAGTGCAGCAGGAGACTACAGTAGTTTTCTTCGATATTTGTCAGCACGGACTCACCTGGTACATGAAACTGGGGTGGGGTAGCGGGGCGTTTCACCTGGTACATGAAACTGGGGTGGGGTAGCGGGGCGTTTCACCTGGTACATGAAACTGGGGTGGGGTAGCGGGGCATTTCACCTGGTACATGTACATAGCGGGGCATTTCCGTACTCATGCTAGGGCAAACTGGCCCTACTTGTACAACAAATCACGATCTGTGTGAAACTCGGCTGGAGGCCAAGTTTTCCGCACAAGCCGGTGCCATAACCGACCAATCAATCATAGCCCTACAGTCTGTATATCACTGCTTTAAAGGTATATATTGATTGTATGGTATGGTATTGTTGCCAGTTTGACCAAATGCCCAGTGATTTCCGAGCACCGGAGCTGAAATTGTTCACCACCGTTCAAGACCGGATGAGCTGGACACATTTTTTTTGGAACTTTGTTTTACTTCGCAAAATCCAAACGGGAATTTCTTCCCAATATGCAATGACAAGGTAGCGAAGAGGGAAGAAAAAAAAGAGAGAGAGAAGAAGAAAAAAAGAAAAAAAGTGTGTATGCACTGGAAATGATAGTCAGCTGGAAATCAATTGTACGGATCCATTGTCAAACATGGAATTATTGTTTCGGTTTTGGCCGCACCTGCTGCACCGGTTCCGACACCCCTGTGTGCACTATGATAATGAATTCTTGATCGCATGTTTGCTTGATTGACTGCATGTGTCAGTATCAGTAGTATGCGATCACGAAGGACATCCATACCTTGATGAGATGAAGCGGGTGGATGGGATTATGGTGCAGTCGCTGGCCGAGCTTGTCCAGTAGCGGCTGTGTGGCATTGGTTATGCCGTCCACCGCATACTGCTTGCCGTTGATCTCGACGTGCGTATCCGTCAGGGTCCCACCGCCTGCAGCTAAACCATCCCAAGTCCCAGCAAGAGTATTATAACTAGGGCTCAAATGGTCACGGTTTTACCCCTGACGAGTAACTGCTAAGCTACCGGTCGCTTAACGGTTATAACCTATAAGCGCTTTAAGCCACGGCAATCCTTCGGACTCTTTTTTAACCGTATATTTGACTATACTCATTCAAAAAATGTACCTTATTCAGTACAACGCACACATGTACATTCTCTTGCATGCTCATTCATGCTCATTCATACATACTCTCACACCAAGAGACCAGATATGACCGCCCAGAAATTGCGTACGCGTGCGACAGCCTGCGAAAGTGCATACTTTGCAACGACCTGATACTTGAAAAATTGACTGAAAAGTTACTGCATAAGCGTTATCTTTATCGGTTAACCGTTAATTCTTCGTAACCGGTCTGCAACCGGTTAATCGGACTAACCGTTTGAGCCCAAATTATAACTACGCATGTGCACTGTACTGATGCGCACTACAAATACAGTCCGTTCGGTTCGCCGATCGGGAAGTTACCGGCACACCCGTATCAGGGTTCTAGCCAGGGGGGGGGGGGCACAACGCCCCCCCCCCGCCCCCCCCCTATGAAAAAGTGCCACCCCCCTACTTATTTTCCGATTTTTGTGTTTTTTCATGCCATTCAACGAAAATTCAGTCGATAGTCAGTACTAGAGGGTTCATATTAAGGCACATTTGTTTGGGGTGAAGTCAGGTGTTCACCCCGTACGTTGCATTTCGCATAGCAAAACAGTTATTTTGAAATGGAAAATGGGTTACGGGGTAACTGCTTTCCCCCCCCCCCCCCCCTACTATTTTGACCTAGCTTCTAGCCTGCCGTATGAATACCGGTAGTCGAAGGCAGTGTACAGTGTACAATACGTCTATAGCAAAACCTTTCAAACTTGTCGTAATCCTGGGTAATTCAATGACAGAAGGTCAGTACTATTTTTGCCTGCATGACTACTGATTCTAATGTTTGCATCCACCCACATGTCATGTACATGTATGTAAAGGATTCACTACCAGCAGCTACATGGTTACGCCACAGGGTTTTTTCATTAAAACTGACAAATCTCAATACAAAATAATTGTCTCTTGATACTTACACGAAGACGCAGGGCGATTCCATAATGTACTAGTTCTAGAACTCAGCCGCAAACAGCTTCGGGTTATGGTTGAAGCTAAATACATGTTGCTGTGCTAATCCTGAGAGAAACGATTGTGAATGTTTTTGAATTGTGTGCTGAAATACCGGTACAAAGTCATGTACCATGATGTACAGTGTACCTACTGTATGTCCTTGTCACTTGTGTACATGCAAAGCCTGATTCATGTGCTCATTTCGTGCAGGAAACGCGTCGCATCGCGAAAAAGTTCAATCCAAAAACACCAGCACACAAGGATGCGATTGGATTTGTGAATTCGAAATTACTGTGTGCATCAGTCACGCACGCACGGCCAACACTGTGTGTAAACCAGGTTTATTTGGAAAAAGAAAGGTATTTTGAAATTATAATTGTTAAAACTCCGCGAAATGTGTTGTCAGATTTGCGAAACAAGTCGTTGAGATCATGATTCGTGTGGGGAGTCCCCGTTGTTGCAAGAAATGGCTACGACTTGCAACAAGAAAGAGACGCGTTGATGTGTGTGGTTTGAAGTTTTTTTGTTTTGTAAACAGCTAGACAGCTTCGTTCTTCAAATTTTGCTATTGCTGCATGAGGACAGTATCTGCACTCCTCCAAAGCTGCTGAAGCTGTGAGGAGAGCGGGCGAGTACAATGGCGGATTTACCTACTTCTGTAAGACAAAAGTATCTCGTTCTGGCCTGGCTGGCACGATTCAGGAGAAATGACGTCTCTTCAATTCTGCTACACCTTTTTAGATACAGTTCGATCAGGAAGCCGTGGTACTGCGCAAGAGTGAGCTGTTCCCAAAGAAAAATTGCATTCATGGTAAGAAGGAGTTGCCTCTTGAGTACTCGTGCGCCAGACGGTTTCAGTCACTCTACTATAGTACTAATTGTATCGTAAATTTGAGTATTTTTGAAATTGTTTTCAATTTGTTTTGGGTGAGGAGTCCGTCTTGGAATCTGTTTTCAGGGGGATGCCCGTTGATGCTGGTGTGTAATGTCGTCGTGGTGTATTTGTTCTGTTTTCGTGTTGGAAGACATCATGAGTAGATAAAGCGCAATTTAGGCCAGAGACTTTTTGTTTCCTGAAGCGTGTTTTCTGAACCCGATCTTCTGTTTCTGTCACTGAATAATCTTTGCTCGGCACTGAGTCGGCAGATCTAGCTGTGCGTATCTGTGTTTTCGTTTGCCACTCGTGTACTACGGTGTATTTAGACCGTATCAGATTGTGCTGTAAAAGGAGAATACGTGCAGCAAAGATCTTTCTTGTAATCTCAGAAGGTATTGCACAACGTTGCGCTGCGAACAAACCAGGCATAGTAGTACTTAGTAGTATACTTGTGACCACTCGCCAATTGCATTATTTTGTTGAAAGCTGCCGGTAGTGCAGGTGATGTCATTCAGTTTGCCCTGTATGCACTGCTGCTCCAGGCCTTTGGCTGTACGAACAGGAGATCTGCTGGCCTTTCAGTACTGGCAGGACATACACCATGGCATGGATGTTAGCATTGCATCCTGCATCCAGTATTGCTGTTTCCAGTTGCGTAAAAATGTAAACTAGAAACAAAAATTAATAATGTAAACTGCAAACAGCAACACAGTGAGTTGACAGGCAATGGGAGATGCAATGCACATAAAGCTGTGACTTATCTTTGCACATTGCACTCAACAATACAACACTACTCACTACTAATATACTTGTAGTAATAGTAGTATTACTGGATGTATGTATACACTAACATGCAGGCAGTGTGTGTTTGTGTGTGCACCCTATTGCTGTATTGGCACGACTACACTTGTACAGTCAGTACTACTACTAGGTAGGCCTTGACAGGTATACACGCTTCTACATGGGGCTGTGTGTGTGTGTGTGGGCGAGAAAGACACATCAACCTATGTCATGATGTGCACCTGTGGGTGGTGGTGGTGGGGGTATGTTTTTGACAAGTGTGTAATGTGTGTGGTGTGTGTGTGTGTGTGTCCGTGTCCGTTTTATCCGATGTACTCCGTGTGGTGTAGACCAGGTGTGCATTGGTGGTCGATTCACATGGCTTCGCCAGTTTTGGGGATTAGACAGTTATCCGGCGCAAGTCTTGATCTGTCTCATTCAGATCTTGTTCGCTAACGTTGCTATAAGAGAAAATCTGTGGGTGCACATCCGGTGCTTTTGCAGATTTGCATGCTTCTCTTGCGTCGGGCGTTTACATGGTACATGGTGTGTGTGCATGTGTGTGTGTGTATGTGCATGTGTGTGCGTGTGTGTGTGTATGTGCGTGTGTGTGTGTGTGTGTACATGTACACGCATGTGTGTGCGCATGTGTGTATGTTTGTCATAAACTACATGCTATGTCGCTCTTTACTGCAGATGATGAGCCTGTGGAGAACATCACACCGCCAATGCATGGGGAGAGCTTTCTCTTCTGCGGCCGGTGTGGAAAGGACAACAGCCAAGTTATCCTGCTGACAACGTACCGCCTGCTGGTGTTGCAACCGAAGCAGTGGTTTGCTATAGTAAGTGACCTTGCCAGTTGCTTACACTACCACACTGGTATACATGTACTAACGTTAGTAGCATGTACAGTTCGGGCCATGGTTTTGCACTTTTTTTGTGCGAGCAGCACCATACTAGGGCGGATAAGCCCATTGCGCGATGTCGTAACTTGTACCATGAGCACCGCATACAGCCACCTGGGCATGGTCGTCTGGGGTGTTGAACAGTGCATTGCTGATCCCAGCGTACTCACATTCACTACTCATACCTTCCATGTTTAGCAATGTTCTTATTGTGTCCAAGCGTGCTTTGGACCGGGAAGTGTTAGAGCCAGGGTTTAGCCCCCTCCCCCCCCCCCCCCCCCCATACACACGCACAACTGTTCTTCATTTTGCTATTGCCATGATCATAAACGTAAATCTATGTTGTTGCCATGCCTGTTTGAAGACCCGGATGGACATGCAATCCATTCAGTGCACACATGCATGACAATGTACTGCAGCACTCGCGTGCAGATCATGATGATCATGTACATAGCACTTTATCACCTGCTCTTAGTTCAAATGTTCAAACATGAAGTATAGTGTGTCAGTCATCCGATGGCTACTCTCTCTCTCTCCTCTCTCTCTCTCTCTCTCTCTCTCTCTCTCTCTCTCTCTCTCTCTCTCTCTCTCTCTCTCTCTCTCTCTCTCTCTCTCTCTCTCTCTCTCTCTCTCTCTCTCTCTCTCTCTCTCTCTCTCTCTCTCTCTCTCCAAGCTCTTCATTCTTCAGATACGTTATGTTTACCATGAACTTTGTGTGTGTGTGTGTGTGTGTGTTGGTGTTTGTGTTTGTGTGTGTGTGTGTGTGTGTGTGTGGTGTGTGTGTTAGTGTTAGTGTGTGTGTGTGTTAGTGTTAGTGTGTGTGTGTGTGTGTGTGTGTGTGAGTGTGTGTGTGTGTTGGTGTTGATGTGTGTGTGTGTGTTGGTGTAGGTGTTTGTGTTGGTGTGTGTGTGTGTTGCTGTTGGTGTTGGTGTGTGTGTGTGTGTGTGTGTGTGTTAGTGTTGGTGTGTGTGTGTTGGTGTTGGTGTTGGTGTTTGTGTGCATGTACTAGCACGTATTCGCTAATACCTTGCTCCTTTTTCCTCTTTTTTTCGGTATTTATAGGCACCGGTTGGTATTCTGCTCTCCATAGACCAGCATGATAATAGTCTCCTCGTGAAGTTCAAGGATGGACGACACTGCATGTAGGTGCATACATGCACGTATGCGTGTGTGTGTGTGTGCGTGCGTGTGTGTGTGTGTGTGTGTGCGTGTGTGTGTGTGTGCGTGTGCGTGCGTGCGCACGTGTGTGTCTTGGTTCGTGTTTGTATATGCTTGTCTGTCTGTCTGTCTGTCTGTCTGTTTGTGGTATTTGGATGTACGTGTATGCTTGTGCTTGAGCTCCTTGCTTTTACCTAGTACCTTACAGCAAGTAGTCATACATGTACTCCCTTGCCCATCCTACCACACTCCTCCTTACTAACTCTCACACTGATCACACTAGTCACTGTATTACTGTTTGTGTGGACAGGATCATGGGAAGGCTGACATAAGCCTCTTGACCGTAGGAATGCATTGAACATGCTGTCTGAGTGACACGGGGCACTTGAGTAGGCATATGTACAGTAGTGTTGCCTGGACACACTCTCACTCAGCTGTCCAGTGTATTGCTGTTTCGACTGCACAGTTTCGGTAAAATGTGCCGTCATCTGGTTTGCGATTGTGATCTTCGCTCTGAATGCTGGTGTTATTAATTTGTTTTTGCACCATAGTTGGCTTATCAGCAAGTGCGATGAAGCATACCATTACGCTATGTAACTGCTCATTTTTGAGCTTACTTGCCATTGCAAACCTGATGATGGCAATTTTGCCGAAACGTTAAAATAATTTACTGTTTGATTGAAGTGAGATTGCAGAGTCATCAGGAAAGAGCAAAGCTGCTCACACAATTGTCCTTCTTCAAGCTGCAGGCAGCCTCACCAGTCTTACTGCAGATATTCTTGTTTGCCGAAGTCGGGTAAGGGGCGAGGGGGCTTCTTTGCAGCTGTGTTTTTGTTGTTTATGCTTGGCCCTCGAAACCGATCACATCTGGCAGCGCTATTCTTCAGCCGAGAATGAGTTTTAAGAGTGAAGACGTGTATCCAATGTGATGGAAGATCTCACCGCATGATTTCTACCGATGCGTCTCCGTTTTCTCTCTTCTTTGCGTGCTTGTTGCAGCATCCAGTTCTCCAGCACTGAGCGCTGTTTGCTGTGGCAGCACCGACTTTCCGCTGCCATCCCTCCGCCTGCGAAGCTGCAAGATCACTTTGCGTTCGCCTTCCATGCATGGCTGTTTGACAGCGTTGGGCAGCTATGTCAGCAAAGTAAGTTGCGAGATCACCAGTCACGGTGTAACTTAGACCCTGCGATTACTTCAAAGTAGGATCAGCACTGCAATGCAGCTGTGCATATGCCCTGAGCAGTGCAATGTGTCAGGTTTCGCACCCATGCACGGAGGGTGATTTGAAACCTCCTCTGTGCAATCAGTGTTGGTTTGGCATGCATGCAACCCACCTCTATAAGCATGCATACAGCCTCTATAAGCATGCATGTCCAGGTCGACTAGGTCGCAGGTTCATGGGACCGATAGAGCAGCAGTATATGGAACATGTATCCCGCTATAAGGAGCAGACTCGCTATATGGATAGGCCCTGTTCACTGTCCCGTATATAGCTCATGCATACCATTTTCGCCAGAGTATGATGTGCAGTCTTTTTTGTAGGCCCAAATTCACGGCTGGTCTCGATACTGAAAGTTTACTTGAAAAGTACTTCAAGTTGGCACCTTGCATGATCTGAGTTTATTGTGAGTTTGTATTGTGTTGCTTATCGCTTTGCGGAAATCCTTTTGTCACTGTTATTATACGCATTCCCGCGTTGAAGTGTAGCAGCAGTATGCTGCGTCCACAGCTTCGCTTATGCAGAATGGCTTGGGTGAGAGGAGAGGGGAGAGAAAGCAACAAGGCAACCAACATCTATGAAATTGGTCACAATAACATGAAGAGAACCAACCTACATACATGTACGCATGATTGCACAAGAATGGAGACGACCAAATATAATGGCTATAATCATTGTGCCACAAAACCGGTACACAGGAGATCTGACGACAATGTAACGAAACATAAAACTCAGTTACTCAATACAGGTTCCACTAAATTACAAGAGAACAACGCTACAACGTTAGAATTGCCGCTAAATTATCGCAAGTGTAGAGAACGAGTCCAATACAAATGAAAACCATGAACAGACTGTCCCGAAGTTATTTTGGGAACAAATTGTACTACATGACTGTACTTGCTGATACTGACGCTGACGGAACACGAATTTGAGTTGAATACTCACGAAGTCTTGTACATGCACATCATTATGCGCCGGTGTTGTGGAGTAAGCAGGTGCGTCAGTCACCAATCCAGCTTCAGCTCCACGCTCGCTTCAGCAGAATGTTGCCCGCGTTTGCTTTGCCTCCACACGGATAGACGACCAGCGCAGAGTCCCGCAGCTCCGTGGCCGTAAGGTCTTGAGTTCTGTGAATTGCGCTAAATGAAAATGGAGTTGTGTAGATCTCTTGCATGCACAATGTCATGACAGTATGCAGCGAAACAGTGATCACCCCTAGCATTCGAATCAGAGATATCACCTCTACCATACTTAGTACCATGCCTCTGAGCGCACGATGTCTGTTATTCTTTCAGCTCCCAACAACCTCGAGTGGTTTTACCAGGAGATCCGGCGACTCGGCTTCTACGATCATCCGCTATGGCGGACGACGGATTGCAACATAGAGTTTAGGTGAGTGTAGTGATCTCGGTTTTGGCTCGTATGGTGTTGGTTAATGGTCTACAATAGTCACGTTGATGTGTGCATCTCTCTTTTTAACTGTGATCTGTGGAGACTTCTTGCTTTTTGTTGCTGGTGTGTAGCCATGCTTTGCATGCAAGCCTACTGTGCTGGCGTTGCTTGCTCGTGTCTATCAGTTGCTGTGCGTGAGTCGTGGCTGACACTACCCCGACGTGACTTTCTTGCCTGGTGATTGTTTTCAGAGTATGCCCAACGTATCCGCAGCTGTCGATTGTGCCTGCCTCCATGAAGGAAGATAATGTCCGGACGGCAGCCAAGTTCCGTATTTTGTCACGCTTTCCGGCCGTCGTGTGGAGGTGAGCGTAGCTGTGTGGTACAGGTCTCTGTCTTATGTTCCGCTGTTGTGTAGAAATCATGCTTGCTTTGTCCATCCGTCGAATTCATCCTTTGCTATTTTATGGGTGGTGAGCTCTGCTTTAGCTTATTGGTTGCAGCCAGGTTTTGCTTTCACCTCTCTGGTGTTGTGATGATACTCTTTCACAGTGTAGTATTCTCCGGATGTCTTGGTTTCCACGGATATGTATGCTTACGGTGTGTATGTGTGTGTGCGTGCGTGTGTGTATGGTCTGCAGGCATGCTAGTAATGGTGCTGTACTGGCACGATGCTCTCAGCCGCTCATCGGCTTGCTAGGGTACCAGAGATGCGGCGAGGATGAGAAGATGATCGAGGGAATAGCAAAGGTGGGTGTGCACAGACTTTCTTACCGGTATTTGTCTCCTTGGCAAGATTGCTTGAGGACTTCGTCCATTTTCATGGCAATTGGCATTGCTGCATTTTTAGGTGACGCTGTTCTGTTACGTTTTGCAATTCGTACTGTTTTATTGAGGTTTGTCAGGATTAGTGAGTTGAATATGTGTGGATCCGCAAGTATTTATAATAGAAAGTAACCCACTGAAGATAACATAACATGAGTTTGTGCTCTTCAATATAGTGTAAGTGGGCAATGTTCAGCTTTCTTCGTTAGCCGTCGCTTCTGCGTGTGCCAGGTAAGTTTGAAATGGCAGCAGCAGATGTGTATTCACATGCGAGGAGGACTGGGAACTCCCCACAGATTCGATTGTCAAAGCCAGCATAGTTTTCAAATGCTCATCTGCTCCTTCATCACAGTGCATAAAGCCTGATTTATACTTCATTTCGCATACGGAAAGTCATCGCGCGATGACTTTCCGTATGCAAAATGATGTATGAATCGGCCATAAGAAACCCTTGCTCACTTGCCAGTATAGTAAAGGAGCCTGCACTTCCCTCTTTACCTTAACCATAACCGGGCTCACCACATTTCCCGTATAAGCGCAGCATTTTACTTTGAAGTATATTTCAACATTCATGTAGAGGCCCATTCATAGTATCTCTTTTTGCGAAATGCGAGACTTGCGACAATGAAAGCGTGGCATGGCATTTCAGATCATCCATCGTTCGGATAGTCAGCATTCTACTTTAGCCAGTTATAAGTAAAACATTGGTATTCTCAGAGATGATCAATTGTTCTTCCTTGTTGTGCTTCCCAGGCTGTTGTTCTAGATCGGGCATTGGCCAACAAGGTTATCACGAAAGAGGAAGCGGTTAGATGTGTTAACGAAAGTTCCTGCAAGCTCAAAACTCGTAAGCTTTTTACCAGGAATGGTGGTAGTGTAACTTCCTTTGCTCGTCTGATATTTGGACATGGCCTCTATCATAATCACTATCATGGACTATCATGTCTATACAAGTTAGGAAAGGTGGGAAAAGAAGACGGAACAGTAGCTTCCGTGCAAGAATGACGACGCATATGTGTGCCTGCCTGTGTGTCTCTGTGGATGTTTATGTAATTCGTGCTGAAGAAGGGCTGAGGCTTCCTGCAGCTTCATATCTGGAATAAGGAATTCGGGTGCACATGCCCAATCCCATAGCGCTGCATTCTCATTCATTGTTCCTATTACCTGATGATGGCCAAGTGCCGACACGTTGTGAAATAATAATTCAAATAATCGGAACTGGTTCGGATGTGCAGCGCTATAGGAATGGGTGTGTCCACCCGAGTTCCTTTTTTTTAACACATGTGTTGTAATACCACCTCCTCAATTGACTACCATATATCCCGATATGCGTGTCCTTTGATTCCATTTGCTTTGGCATTTCTTCTTTGCCTCATATCTATACATACAGTGTTAGGTGAAGAGAAGGCAACACGGATTGATATGCCATCATTGCTTGTCGTCGACATGAGGACCTATGCTGCTGCCATGGCCAATAGAAGCAAGGGCGGTGGCACGGAAAGCAAAGGTAGGCTTCCACTGTACTGTTCAGCCGATTGGTAGCAATGTCAACTGCTGCCAGGTTAATGTCACATGGTGTCGAATCCTGATTGCCGCATGCGTGACTTGAGGAGCTCTACATGCTGCCACTGGACTTCATCACACTGTTCAATATGACAAGTGCACGCTTCTGTGTTGGTGGTGTCGGCGGCGGCGTCGGCGTTGTTGTTGTTGCCATTGCTGCTATAACTATTGTTGCCCAAATTGACTTGTTCCTGTCATCTGTAACATGTCACCTTGTTATTGTCACTCACCTCTCGTTCCCTGCTTCTGTTTTGCTGTTGTTGCAGACTACTACCCATGCATAGAGCCCGTGTTTCACAAGATTCCCAATATCCATTCGGTGCTGCAAAGCTATGAGGCAATGTCAACTCTCTGCCAGACTCAGTCAACCAACTCTCAAAGGTTAGTCAGTGCCAGCGTAGTCAAAGCTCTATATGCTACAGCCGCTACACTGTGCGCTTGCAAGCACTCATCTAAAAAATACGAAGAAAAAAACTGGAGGCTGTGTGTTTCTAACTTCATTGGTATAACCATGAGCCAAAGCACCATTGCTGTGACTGTGTAACACCGAGACAAAACAGTGACGTTTAAAAAGGCAGTGAGAAGCAAAGAAAGGCTGGCACGTTCTTCCCCGCCATAGGACCGAAAGCCGGATATAAACCACATTGCATTGTTCATGCACGTAGGCGTGCAAAAGAAAAGAAGCTAATGGGGCCGGTCACATTGAGGAAACAATCCTCAGATTATATACCGGGAATAATTTGTTCTGCTTTTCATCACGGCCACGCTGCATACGCACAATGAAAATAATCTCACTCACGCGAGCAATTTTTTTGTCACCATTCGCTTCTGGCTGTCTGTCAACCCCGCTCCTGGGCCAGAGCTACATCAGCACAGCCTCTAGAGTATCGCTCCACTTCGGAACGCAATAAAAAACAAGGAAACTCAAAGAAATCCAGTGGAAGCCGCGGATGATTATAATCTTCAGCGGAAAAGTGAGGCCTCGAGCTGATTTTCATCGAGTGGATTAAATCTCTCAAATCTCCCGCACAGCAGCAAATGTCCATGGTAACCACGGATTTTTTCAAATTTTCCCTCCGTGTGACCGGCCCCTAAAGGGCCGTCCATAATTATCGATCTTGTACACGAAACGAAAAAAAGTTACATGTATGGGTGGGTGGGTCGAGGAGAGTTTTGTTTTGAAAAAGATTGATGACTGAAACATCAACCCATTGTAGCTGTCGAGTCAATTTACTTTTCGGTTGCTGAGTGGTCTTCTTTTGCAGTGTATATATTAGATTTTGCTCTGCGTGCATGTGTAAGCTAGAGCTCCACTCACTCATTATGTGCCTGTTGCGAATAGTGAACAGTTTGTATTTGACTTTAGCTGGAGATGTGTTATTGCTTTAATCGTTAGCTGATGGATCGCTTCTATTGTGTGCCATTCTGTTGTTGTGATTCGTAGCTGGATGAGCCAGTTGGAGAGCACCCAGTGGCTACACTTCCTGTCCGCTCTGTTAGAGTCTGCCGTGCACATTGCTCACACACTGTGTGTGGATGCTCGGCCAGTGCTTGTGCACTGCTCCGATGGCTGGGACCGCACGGCGCAGGCCACGTCGCTCTCACAGCTGCTTGTCGACCCATTCTATCGCACGTTTGAGGTGGGCTTGTTCATCAGGGCTTTTTTCTAGAAATCAACGTAACCACCACCACCCCTCCCCCCCCCCCCCCCCCCCCCCCCCCGCTATGTTATCGCATTGCTCCGGATATTCACCCTTTCGGAAACCCCAGCACACAAGCTCACAGCAGCCCGACAGTGGTGATGACCAGCAGTTAGTTTGAAGACCAGCAACACTCAAAGGCTATCACCACTGAACACTCAGTACTGTACATTTGTAGTAATCACTAATCAGCTTGTCACTCAGTTGACAGCTGACAGTTGTGTGGTGTTTACAATGTACGTGCAGTATCCATGTTGAATCACCGCTTATTGTAGGGGCAACAGCTTTACGTGTAATTTGTTTTCTTGTTATGCATTGTCAGTACGGATGACCATGTTGGCCTTCGTTCTTGGGTGTGTGATGTTGCTGTTGCTACTGCTGCTAAGTAATGGTACTACAAGTACTCATTGTGTCTTTTATTGTCGCGATTGCCGCTTCTTCCCATACCAGGGGTTCACAACTCTCATCAAGAGAGAATGGCTAGGTTTTGGACACAAGTTTGCAGATCGCTGCGGTCACTCGACCCATGCCGAGCCTAGCCCAGTGTTCGTGCAGTGGCTTGATGCAGTTCACCAGGTGATGCATCAGTTCCCGCTGGCCTTTGAGTACAATGAGAACTTCCTGGTGAGTAGCCGTTAGCAGTCTTAACAGGGGTAATGTATCTGTTTTCTTGTGCTGACGAGTAGCGAGACGCTTTTCTCGTGCTGCTTGTGGGAGTTTGTTTGAGTTGAGAGGGATGCTGTGTGAGTGCATTTCGGGGGTCTGACTGCTCTCTGCAGACTCGACATCTATGCGCGTTGCTTGATTATATCTGCTACTTTAATATGCTTGCAGTAATCAACATCTTCTTGAGTGTGGAGCCATTTCATTTTCTTCTCCTTCTTTTCATCCCCTACTGATGCGGAAGACTCGGCCTGCAGCGAACCGTGAATTTTTCTTTTTCTTTTCATCCCTTCACAGGTCAAACTTGCTGAGCATGTGTACAGCCGTCTGTTTAGCAACTTCCTGTGCAACTGTGAGAAGGATCGCATTGCGAATGCCCTGAAGGCAAAGACGCTGGATGTATTCATGGTGCTGAGCAAGGATCGCAAAGACTTCGTCAACTATTTGTACGACAGGGACCACCACGCGGTAAGACTATAATTATGTGTGCTGCTGGTGTCGTTTACCGTACGACTTGGCATGTCTGTACTCCTGAAGCCGATGCCTTTCTGCTGTACGTGTGCATGCATCTGTATGAGAATTCTGTGTAAGATGCAACCTCCCTGTTTCAATGTACCTTTATTAAGATCACCGCATAGTATTCCCATGCGGAAAGGGGTCAGATTAATGTCATGCCGAGTCCAGACATAGTCCGTCACCACATGAGTTGTGCTGTGCAGTCAATCTTTGCGTGCAGTGAACGCCTTGCAGAACAGGCTCCGGAAGATGTTCACGCTGGCCACTCGGCCATGATCGTTTGGTCGTGCAGTATGATAAGCAACCACCACACTCACGCACAAGCGTACACACACACACACACACACACGCACGTGCGCACCTGCACACAAGTGGCATTGATTCTGAATCGGGTTTTCTGTGTGTGTGTGTGTGTGTGTCCGTGTGTGCGTGTGCATGCATGTGTGTGTGCATGCATGTGTGTGTGCATGCATGTGTTGCTGTTCCTCACACGTAGCTCCTAGTGCCTGGATTTGGTGTACAACACATGGTCCTGTGGAAGCGCATGTATCTGCGTCCTGTTCGTAATATCATGCCCGGTGGATCTGACGCGAGAGAAGGACCGAGAGTGCAGCCGACCTCGTCAGCAGTAGCCTTCCCCAGCTATGAGATAGAGAGTTCGTATGATGCTTCCCTGCGCTTGTCACTGGCTCCCGGCGCAGTGCCTGAACGAGGATCATTGCTGGAGTGTCTGCAGACACAGCAGCGCAACATCAACCAAGAGCTTCAGCGGCACGGAGCAGAACCACGGCGTACACACAGCACTCCTCCCGCGGACCGCGGCCACTACTCCCAGCTATCTAAGGCAAGCCCCATATCGGCCTCTGACGATCGGATCTCGTCCAAGATGTCGGCATCACCAGCTCAGAGCATCCCCACCACGGGTAGCCAGCGCACCTCCGGCAAGACAATCCGGCGCGTCAGCTCCAGCGACGGCCTGTGCGGTTCGTACGAGTATCTCAGCTGGTCGTCACCGAAGACAAGCAAGCTACACTCGCACACAGACTACCACCCACCACCTATCACCGCTGCACAGGCTGCTGCACAGGCTGCTGCTACTGCCGCTGCTGCAGGTTCTGTTAGCAGTGGCAGTGCAGCGGCGGCAGCTAACGGCTTTCACGTGGCCTCGGCGAAAGTAGTGACCACGCCGCAGCGTCGACGAGCGGCAGAGCAGCTAGCGGACGTGCAAGTGGTGCAGGAGGCGCTTTCTGGTGATGCGAGCAGTCTGGAGCTATCCCCGACACTGGCCCAGGAGCCTGCTCAGTCTGTGATGACATCCAGTAACGAAGAGGTCACTACGCCTCGCAACGAGCTGTCGACATCGACCGAGTGCGTCAGCCCTTCTTCTTCATCGCCAGTAACCGTGTGTGCTACCAGCCATGCCACATGCATTCCCGTTGGCAGACGCTCGTCACCTTCTCCCGAGGAGTCTGAACGCGAACGGTGGCCCATGTCGTTACCGGAATTGCGGGAAACGGACCAGGAACTCACCGCAGCATCTTCCGATGTCCCTGATGGCAAGAAGGATGGTGCTAGCTTGCGCCAACGGTGTGGCCAAGAAGCCCGTGCTAAGCCAGAGGACGATTCCGGCTGTCCTTCGTCACCCTCATCTCCTACATCCAGTAACCTGGAGTCTACAGTAGTAGAAGGTTAGTTTACGGTCGAGCAGTATAAGACAAACCGAATCCTGGTTAATCACATGTCTTCCTTTTAAAATTGTACCCCTAGTGTACGTATATTTCACTCCGATATGTATTCTCGGAGACCCCCTTGATTTAGTCTTCGGCCTTTGGGGAATCCCTCAAACAATAGTTATAACTCTGTGACAGTCAGGTAACGTAAAGTTCAGCGCATGCTGTAATGCATTTCGAAAACACAGTTGCGTGCATCTGCAAGAGAGTGCGTGTAGATTTCCAGCTGCTATCAGCCTACGGTTTGAGCGTACAGACCAGGAAGTAGTAAAATACCTACTCCCTGGTACAAACCCCCAAAGTTTCAACAGAACTGTGGCAGTAGTCTATACAGTACTTGCCTACACTTTGCACGAAGCGTGCATCTTATACACCAAAGAACATGATTTTTCATCTTGATCCATAAGGGAGCATCTCATAAGTTCGCATTTTTTTTCTAAACGTAAGGCCATCATTTTTTATATCTATGTTTCGCGTCAGGTCAACTTCCAGAATCGTATGCGAGAGGTGGAAAGAAATAAAAAGTTGTAAAATAATAAAAAAGGATCACCAGAGGTGTATAGCACTGTACATACTACATAGCCTATTGACTATAGTCAATAGCTCGTGCATGGTGTACATTCGAAAGAAAAATCGTACATCGAAGCACAAAATCTGGGTTATCAACAAGAGGAAATATTCACTTTGGACAGAGGAGGCAACCGTTGGTGCCCATGCTCCGCTGGATTATTGTACTCAGCCTTCAGCAGCGGTGCGAAGAGCTCCGAAACGACGCATCCTCTCAGCTTGAGGCGATCGATGCGGTCTGGTGTAAGCTCAAAGAATTCTGCTCGCAGATGCAGAACAAACGATCTACCAACGCTGGCCTCGAGGCCAATTCTGAATCCCAGCTTCGCCGTATGCAACCAGTCCACACTGATGACTCGCACGATCGTACACTCACTGTGCATGTTCGATTATTTTATTTTTTTCCGGAAAAAATCAAAACGTATGCGTGCGGACAACGCGAAACATAGATATAAAAAATGATGGCCTAACGCATTTCGAAACGGGGGTAGGGGGGTACCGGGTAGCGCCCTTTTCGAATAGAAAAATGACAGTTCGCACATTTTCTGGATGTGTACAATACTGTGCTCACGGTGCACATGGTGCATGTGCTAGACCGCCTCCGCATGCAGGGTGTGTTCATGGTGTTTACTCAGCGACCTACTAGTATGTTCCCAGATCAGCTAACCCTGCACTGCATGCAATCAATCATGCAGGCTAATCAGAGGTGTCAAATGTCACACCAGCATCGTCAAACCGTGTACCTGGCCAGCTTTCACAGTACAGTCGTTGTGGAGAAACTCTGTTTATGTGCGTGTACATGTCATTTGTACTCAGTAGATGCTGTACTACTGTATGCCACCAAGAGTACATAACCAAACTGGTTATGTACTCTGTGAGTCTTGATGACACTCACATCCACACTAGCAAAACATTCATGTACATGTGTATACCATGGCATGCATGGACATGTACAGTAGTAGATCTACATGTACACTGAAAATGTGCGTTAAGACTTTCAAATAGTGGGGGGAGGTAGGGGGGTAAAGTCTATTCGAAAAGCGTTACGTTTACAAAAAAAGTGCGAACTTATGAGATGCTCCCTAAGAACATAAGTTACATAGCCCAGAAAGCCTCGCTGAGTTCAACACTTTATTTCTAGCGAAATAAAGTATACAAGCGCAAATGTGAAACGAAGTGAAGCCTGATGGCGTGGAGAAAACTCTCAAGAACTCGATGAGCTTACCGACAGCGGCAGGAAACACTGCGTGTCGATGATATTGATTCGCCGAATGAATTACACTTCATAGATTGACTTGAAATCTACATTTTGCCCTTCGCAACCGAAATCCCATGTGCCTTCCAAACTGCACAAAGCTCAATGAGCCAGACTCAGCCTTGGCATCTCAAACCAAAGTAAAAGATAGTGCTACAGTGCTGGCAACTGAAATCCGACCCCCTGAGCGGTGCGCTCACATCGCAAAGACTGTGAACCCACCGCTCAGGGGGTCGGATTTCAGTTGCCAGGACTGTAGTTGTGTGATCAAAGTAGCCTTCTTACAATGTAGTTCCCACTAAGCATGTGAATATGCTCTTTACCTACCCGGACATTTCTTGCTTTGGATGATCATAGCCAGCGTGGTGTGCAGAATTGAGTTTGTTAGCTCAAGGCTCATTTCCTTTTGGCAGTGTGCGTGCATGTGCGTGTGTGTGTACGTGTGTGTGTGTGTGTGTGTGTGTGCGTGTGTGTGTGTGCGCACGTGCATGCGGACATGTGTGTGCGTGAATGTATGCGTGTGTATGTGTGCCCGCACGTGTGTGTGTGTGTGTGTGTGTGCGCGCGCGCGCGCGTGCGTGCGTGTGTGTACATGTGTATGGAAAACGGGTGTAAGCAATACTTTTTTGCCTTTGGCTGTGTCTATTCTGGGTGTGTTGACATAGGAGAGTATGCGCAAGCTGACTGGCTGGTACCACAGTTCATGCTGGATGTGGACGGGCTGCCGATGCTGCAGGACCCGGTACAGGCATTGCTACAGCGCAACGAGCAGCAACACGAGGCTGAGCTAAGCGGCCTGGAGGCTAAGATCGAGCACCTCAACCACGTGTTAAGACAAGCCACTGCCCAGTGTTTGTCTGACGAACAGCACCGAGATTTATCTGCGGCGCTTGCCGACGATATGGAAAGGAAAAGCTCCGTCTCGAGTGACAAGAGTGACATGTCGAGTACCGCCAGCAGTGTAAGCTCTGCAGTTTGCGATGCTGTGCTTTTCTGTACACAGATGCACTGGATATCGCGCGCACGCGCGCGCGCACACACACACACACACACACACACACACACACACACACACACACACGTGTGTGGATGCATGGCTAGCACTTCAGCAAAGTTCCGAACTTGCAGATGCTCACCACATCTTGTCGATCTGTCCCTTCGGCATGCATTGTCTGTACTACGCAATGACAATGTCTCTCCTGTTACTGCTTCCACTGTCAGGTTGCACATTCCTGGGAGGCTGTGGACAGCAACGAAGGACAGCCGATACGCTGGGTGCCTGACCATGCTGCTAAGGAGTGCATGGGTTGTGGATCAATGTTCTGGGGACTGCTTATACGCAGGCACCACTGCCGGTAAGCTAACAGCGTGAAATAAATAATGAACAAACGTTAGTATGTGTCCCGTGAGGCATCTTGAAAGAAATACACTAGTGTATGTCCCTTGAGCCACTTTTGTTTCTAAACAAAAAGCACACATGAAGTGTTGTGAAAATTCAATTGTTTTGCTGCAAAAAGACCAGTGATCATTTAGGGACTTCTGTTTTTTTTCTTCGCATGTATTTCCCGTGATGCCTTGATTTATACTGTGTACTTGTATGTGCGTGTGTGTGTGTGTGTGTGTGTGTGTGTGTGTGTGTGTGTGTGTGTGTGTGTGTGTGTGTGTGTTGCCTGTGCGTGTGTTGCCTGGCACTGTGGCGGGGTGGTGTTTGCTGTGCAGAAACTGCGGCGGTGTGTTCTGCTACAGCTGCTCATGCTACAGTGTGCCAGTGCCAAGCGAGCAGCTGTCCAACCCTGTACGTGTGTGCCGCACCTGCTATGACAAGCTGGACGGACCACGCTATGAGCGCCAGATAGAGCTACAGCATCAGCTACTCGCCGCCAGTAGTTAAGACGTGATGTGTTTGCGCCGTGTGTACTTGTTAGTTCAATCGTCGTGACGATGACGAAAATATTGCTGAACTCCCTTTCTCGCACACACTCTCACTCCCACTCGCACACACTCTCACTCCCACTCGCACACGGCATGCACCGTGACTTCACGTACATCCGCCGAAAGCATTACCGCGGGCACAGCATGAAATTAGGACTGTGTACATTCCACAAACAAGCTCTTTTGGGGGGTGATTTCCCCGAAGAAAACCTGGCCGTGCTATAATATGTTGCCTGCTTGTGAGTACTTCAAAGTATTATTTTTACTAGGTATATCGTGTGTGCTGTATTGTTAGATAGACTGTATGCAGGACTTGGCTTGCCCCTGTACACGCCCTACAGGCCGTACACGCCCTACAGGCCGCAGAGCTTTGCCCGTTTGCGTACATCATAGTACATTCACGCTGCAGGCGGGCAGTTGTACATACCTTGGCTGACGATCGATGAACGATCGTGTCTAGGATGTCTCTATTTTCTGCGTCTTGCGTTTCATGTGCAGCACGTTTGCATGGTTCTTTTAGTGTAGCTCATCCTGTAGTTGCGTTCGTCCCTTTGTATTTCTGCACTGGTCGTCGCGCACACAGTAGCATATCTAACCATACGTCATCACTGCTAATCTTCACAGTAGCATATCTAACCATACTTTATCACTGCTAATCTTCACGTATTGTCTAGGTAACTGGCGTTTTAAGACCCCCCACACACTCTTGCTTCCTCCCTCTGCAATATATATATATTATATATATTTCGCCTTCATCTAAATTCATTCCGACGTCTTCTGTGGCGGTCTTGTCAGGACCTTGCACTTATACGCCCCGGTACCTTCAAGGATACTGCTTCTGTTCATCACATCGTCATCAGCGTCTACCGCAATTGTCACCAAAGATCTCCTCGTGTTTACCGGCGACTGTTTTATTCATTTCCTGCCTCAGTCTCCAGTTGATGTTTATAGTGGCGTCTTGTCACTGTCTTGCATGCACATGAGTACAGCATGTATAACGGTTTTTTTGTTTTGTTATTTTCCCCCATACAAACTTTTATTATAGCCTCTGCTGCTCATGATTGATTTTTTTAGACGCCCATTTGCTACGAGCAATATCTGCTGGTCGCTTAGTATCTTTCGAGGTGTTATCCTTGGAAGTTTATTTTTATTTTTAAAAGTTTTTTTCTGTCGTCAGTCTGCCGGTTTTCATTCAGCAGTTTTGCTTCGACCAGTGAGTTTAAGGGAAACCGATTGCAATCGCGGTGATTTCATGCTCTGTTGGCGCTGGTTGCGTGCAGCGGTGGTGTCGGTGATGTGTTGTGTATGCTACGCGGTGTGTGTGTGCAGCTGGCAACGCGTACACTTGGTACGATTATAGCCACTGTTTGGACGTGTGTGTCACCGTCACCAAGAGTACATAACCCCCAAGAGTGTGCAACTGCCTGCACAACATCTATGCTGTGCTGCGACGGCAGAACTTCACATCACGTGACATGGTTCAAAAGGTTATGCTGGCAAACAGTGCAAAGTGACCACAAGAGAGTTGTACCCAAAGCTGGGCTGCGTACACCCCTGTATCTATCATGCACAGTAGGCCTAGCCCAAATTTGCTCGGGGCGCTTCGATATTTTGCCGGCAAATTTTGCCCGATCACTTTCCATATTTTGCTAGGCATTGCCTTTCATTTCCGATATTTTGCTCCATTTTGCTCCTGCTTTGTGGCAAAAATGGCTTCGAATGAACCGTCTACTTTGGTAAAAATGGATGGTGACTCTGATGAGGAAAGCAAAACTTATAATAGTCTGTCCCTCCAGGAAATCGCGATTCCACGGATGCAACAAATTTCGCGATTTCGGTCCAAGCCCGCGATTTTCAGCAAGATCCGCGATTTCCCGCGTTTTTTGTTGTTTTCTGCACTATATCTCACATTTTTATGCACTTTTCACGCAGTTCTTTCCATGATCCTGTAGGTTATTAGCACAGTACGACTCCCGAGTAGATATAGGATGCAAATAATTTCGTGATTTGGCCCAAATCCGCAATTTTCTGCAAATAATTCCGCGAATTCCTGGCAAGTTCTGCATCATTCCGCACTTTTCGTCGCATTTTTTGTTACTTTCTGCCGCAATTTCTTGCGCAAGTTTTCGAGAGTTTTTTCCGCAAATTCCCGCAGGGACAGAATAGTGTCAGTATTACGGATTTTGGAGCATGATTTCAAATTTATGTACCCCTGACAACCTGCACAAGCTATTTCAGCACGACGTTGGTCCAATGAAACCAACGAAATTTGAATAAAATTGCCAAAACACACCCGGATCCTCTGTAAATTCGATATTTTGCTCGGAATTTGCCAGCAATTTCTTTTCGTTGGAAAATTCGATATTTTGCTGGAAGAATTGCCGGCAAATTTGGGCTAGGCCTAAAGGCCGATTCATACTTCATTTTTTGCGACGCGAAAGCGCGATGCGAAAGTGCGAAATGTCTTGCGTTGGCGACGGCTGATTTATACTTTTCAGGTCATTTTGCGAGACGCCGCGAGTCGCACTTCACGTGGTCAACTTTTTTGCAACTAAAAAATGTTGTTCTCTTGGCAACGGGAAGTTGTGCCGGGAAACTGCAAAAATCCACTGACATGATGTGGTTCTCGTGTTTCTTTTCATTTTGAGAGAGACGAGCGCAAGAGCAAGAGCAAGATGGATATGGACACAGCGTTGGATGTCGCAGCAGCCTGTTTGCTGCTAGCTGCTGCGTTTCAGCGTCGGAGGACAGCACGGACCAGACGTTGGTGTGTTCGTCCGTATTACCAGCACAGGTTAGAGCGAGGGTCGTACCAGTCAGACATTGTGCAAATGAGAAGTGTAGACGAGAGCCTGCACTTCAAGTATGTGCGTATGTCCCCGGCTGTTTTCGACCGCTTACTCGTCCTGATAGAGCCGTTCTTGCCGGTGAGGCGTCAGCTGAATTCCGCAACAAGACCAGAAATCACCAATGCGGAACGATTAGCCCTGACGCTGCGATATCTGGCCTCAGGAGAGTCCATGCAGAACATTGCTATCCAGTTCCGTGTGGGCCACTCCACTGCCCACCACATCATTATCGATGTATGCCAAGCCATCTGGGCTGGTCTTGTGGACAAATACATGCAGTGCCCTTCAAAACCAGCTGAATGGGCTGCTGTAGCTACTGATTTCTACGCGAGGTGGAACTTCCCACACTGCATTGGTGCGATCGATGGGAAGCACATCAATATGCAAGCGCCTCACAACTCTGGCAGTAGCTTCTACAACTACAAGAACTTCCACTCCATCGTTCTTCTGGCCGCTGTGGATGCGCAATACCGCTTCATCATGGTTGACATCGGCGCCAGTGGTCGCGAAAGTGACGGCGGTGTGTTCTCTATGAGTGCCTTTGGCCAGTCTCTAGAGTCGGCATCAGCAGGTAATAACAAGACTAGCGCCAGTTTGTTTTTCATTAGACAAAATGCAATCCTAAAAAGAACAGTGCATGCTTCAGGCCTTTACTAGTATTAAAACACTTGTGAACTATCATTAATAGGAACAATAGTAATCGCAAGTTCACAGCGGTTTTCCAAGAACGTTTTCTTGTGACAATCATCTGTGGGATAAACATTACAATAACATCCCAATATTACATGATGGAACAAGCGATTTTATGAAGAGAGCGTGCAACATTTACATTTAGATAGAGAAAAATGCAAACTATAACTGAAGTGTTCAGGGTGGAAAGAGAGAGATGAAGTGAAACCATTGATTAAAGTAGTGTATGTGTCGACACAATCCACATGATCGGTGAAGGGATATGTACGAAAGGCTTTTTTATGTTTTTTTCTTTCTCTTTTTTTACTAGGTCTTCCTGACGCAACCGATTCCGTCCCCGGACTAGGTCGGCTCCCTTACTTTATGGTTGGAGATGAAGCTTTTCCACTTCGCTCCTACATGATGCGACCTTACCCTGGGAAGCAACTTTCAATTGACAAGCGGATCTTCAATTACCGGCTGTCAAGGTATGAGACTCCAAATGACCTCGGTTTCCATTCTTCATTCTGCTCCAATACCGTATTATCTCCATTAAAAGTCCCAGGTTTATATATTTTCCAACCAGTCCGGGCCCTGGGTTTATAATTTTTCATCCATCTGGTACATGTAGATTGGTTGATATTTTTGTTTTTGTTATACCAGTAGCACAAGTGCTCAATTGCTCAAGGTCAAAAGGTTACAATTTGAAAATGTAGTCTGAATGTAGTCTGGAAAAATCTGTCTTTTACATTTTATGTGATTTAGTACTGTATGTTCTATGTAGGTAGTCTAGAGAGGGTCCAATGCAAATGAAATTGGTCAAAGTATGGTAGGAATTAAATGCATACTGTTCAACGACTGACCTCTGTATCGATCCCCTACCGTTATAGCTGCAGTACACACGATTTGTAGTGTTGCAGCATGCAACATTGGAGAACACCATTGCTTGTGCTGATATAAATACTTTTTTTCTTTCCTCACTTGTCCTCTGTAGGGCTAGACGCATTGTGGAAAATGCTTTTGGCATTCTTGTGGCTCGGTGGCGATTGTTTCGGCAGCCAATAAATGCGAAGCCTGAAAATGTTGTTCATTTCACGAAGGCCTGTGTAGTTTTGCACAATCTCCTCCAGACGGAGAGCAGCGCAACCTACTGTCCAAGTGGCTTCATTGACACAGACGTCAACGGTCGAGTGAGCGAGGGCTCTTGGCGGATTGACTTCAAGAACGGCGGACTCACTGACATTACCAAGGCAGCAAGCAACAACTTCACAAGGCATGTCAAGACATTGCGCGAGCAGCTGGCACGGTTTTTCTTGTCACCTGCTGGAGCTGTGTCCTGGCAAGTGGATGCTGTCACAGAAATTCATTGATGAGTGTTCTGGTCGGGCTTCCATTATTATTTTTTGTATTCTTCGTCCTGTTCTGTGTGTGTGTGTGTGTGTGTGTGTGTAGGTGTGTGTGTAGGTGTGTGTGTGTGTGTAGGTGTAGGTGTGTGTGTGTGTGTGTGTGCGCGTAGGTGTGTGTGTGTGTGCGTAGGTGTGTGTGTGTGTGTGTGCGTGCGTACCGTATTTCCCCGATTATAGGTCGCACTTGATTATAAGCCGCACCCCCATTTCCAGGTTTGAGCAATATTGTTTTGATATATTGACTCGATTGCAAGTCACCCTTTTCACCTTTTTCACCCTTTATTTTTATTTTTAGTGTAAAAAGGTGCGACCTATAGTCGGGGAAATACGGTAGATGCGTGTGTGCCGGTGTGTGTGCGTGTATGTGTGTGTGTAGGTGTGTGTGCCGGTGTGTGTGTGTGTGTGTGCGTGTGTGTATGGGTGTGTGTGTGTGTGCGTGGGTGTGAGCGTGTTTATAGTTATAATTTGTTGCTGGTTTTCTACTCCTCTTCTTATTCTTTGTCCGGGCTTCCATGAATATTTTTGGTATTCTTCGTCCTGTTGTGTGTGTGGGCGTGAGCGTGTTTATAGTTATTATTCTTTGCTGGTTTTATACTCCTTTTCTTATTCTTTGTCCGGGCTTCCATTATTATTTTTTGGTATTCTTCGTCCTGTTGTGTGGGTGTGAGCGTGTTTATAGTTATTATTTTTGGCTGGTGTTCTACTCCTTTTCCTCTTCATTGTCCGGGCTTCCATGATTATTTTTGGTATCCTCCGTCCGGTTTTGCTGTTGTGTGGGTGCATGTGCATGAATTTGAGCAAGTGCGAATGTGGACTCTGCTTCGATCCCGTAATTACGTTTGCTCTGGTCTAGCTTTATCTGCAAGTCCAGATGTGTGAGCGTGTTTATAGTTATTCTTTTTTGGATATTCTTTGTCTGGTTTTGCTGTTGCAAGTAACTTGAGCTTGCTCACGCAATTACGGTAAATGAGGCATGCATATAAATGTTTGCATGCAAACTCATCTCTGCATCGTGTGTGCGTGCGCATGAATTTGAGCAAGCGTGAATGTGGACTCTGCTTCAACCCCGTAATGATGGGCGCTCTGGTCTAGCTTTCCCCGTCCTACGTTGGTTGTTTCATATTCCCTTATTTCCAGCACTCAAAAATAACTTGTAATATTGTTATCCATGGCTGACGATTCATCTGCATCGCCCCAATTTCCGGGAGAAATCTGACCATAAACAATCAATATACAGTGTTGCTCAATGAGATCTAGCCGCGTCATGACGTCAGTAAAGTACACGGCCATAGACCGGCGACACTGGGAAGAGGAATGCTGCAAGGCGCA